TGTATTTGTCGAAATAACGATATACCACGGCAATTATACGTTACATAAGAATTTCGCACCCTTCGTATTTCCAATTATTGCAGGTGTTTGTCTGGCTTAACAGAATTAGACACGGGCAAAAATATGACATCACCAATCATTAGCATTCAAATGCAAAGCCCAGAAATACGGAGTGACAAAGTGTCATATTTTAATTTTCACGGGAAAGCTGCCAAAGTCACTGATATGCCGATGTCAAAGGAGCACCAGGTGTTTTGCAAAGAGAATCGTCGCAGCGAATGTGAGTCGTTTTTAAATGAAATGGGGTTTAACCTCTCACTATTCTGCTCCAACCGGAGGTGGGGAGGGGGGAGAGGCTAATGATTACATTAACAAGGGAAGTTCTCGATTGTCAGTCCAGAACGTTCTGAATTGACGGAATTGCAATCGTGTGACGCGGAATTCAGTTCTGTCACAGTCCTGTCAGTCCCGACAACTGAGATAGTGTGAGTAGAATCGTGACGTAATTAAACGAATATGTTTCAGCTGTCATGGTTGGTTGAGATATTAGGTGTTTTTTTCTTTCGACTTGCCAAATCGATTTGTATTTAGTGGAGATGGCATGTGACAGTATAGTCGATTTTAAAGTACTCGAGTTCGTTAAATGCGCCGATTAGCTGTAAACATATCGTGTGGCTGGATGGACATAGTTGAAAAAACACGTGATCACCCGATTAAATCGTCAAATCCCATCTAGTGGTCATTGGCGATTGGTGGTGATCGCTTCGGAAATTGGTATCGATAAATTTGTTCGATAGGGTAACCAATTTGAATTAGATGGAAGTTAAAGATGAAAATTTAATTGATTGAAAATCCCTTTGGCTAAGGGGGGGGGGGGGTCTGAATAGTTAGCACGTGCGTGCTGTATCATAAGGTCTGTCATTGAGTCAACTGGCGTGGTGTTTCGATTACCTGGTTTCGATTCCCCGGTTGTACGTGACAAGGAGTAGGGTCGCCTGCCCAACCTCGTGGGTTTTCTCCTGGTCCTACGGCTTCCTCCCACTGCTAAAGACGCCTCCGCGCAAGCTAATCATTGATATAAAAATGAACCGTGTGTTAGTCCCGAAATGACCTCCCTCCCTCACTCTCTCTCTCGCTCTCTCTAACATGAAAAAAAATATTTTAAAACCTGTAGCATCTGTCGAGGTAGCACGGTTTTCGAAAAAGGGTGGGGTTAGGGGTAACCCAGGAACGGGTCTTGAGCGCTGAAAAACGATAGGGTTCATCCGCGTATGACCCCAATGCTCCTCATAAAATCTGAAGAAAAAAAATCCGTTAAATAACTTTAGCCTTTATCGCGTTAACGACCAAGTTATTGACGGACGGGTGCACAGGGGCGACGATAGCTTCAATATTTGTAGCTGTGATAATTGTCTTATTTAAGGCTACAATTGATAAACTATTCGAGGCTTTGCGCAGGTAAAAATTGGGTTCAATTGCAAAATTTTCAACACATATCATCACTGTATGCAAGGAAATAAGTAATTATGTTACAAACAGAAAGGAGTGGAACACTTTACCGAACAGTTTTTTTGTATTTTCGAGATAACGTGAAAACAAGTGCCTGTTCTAATTATGGTGCTGTGGCCATTTTAAAATGGACATAGATTTTGCGTAGCCGTTGGGTTTTATCAAATCATATAATTATGCGGTAAGGAATTGCCTTTATTTCAATGGGAATTGTTTTATTAATATGTTTGTGCAGTACAGTTTGGTTTCGGAAGACATCATTAGTGGAACCATTTCTACTCTAGGGCGACGACTGTGTGGGCGTGTAACAATAAGCTGTGGGTGTGTTGAAGAAATTAATAGTTATTGGAATTAGATACTCTCATATGATATAAATAAAATGACACTGTTTGAATTCAAAATTAACTAATGAAATGTGAAATGTGAATATCAGATGTATAAAAATGTAGTTTATGAGATAAACCAAAATATTGTATCAAGTAAAATAATATTACAAAATGACATTTTTTTAGCGATCATAAATCTGTTATTGAAATCCATCATGAACATCTCAGATGTAAGATAATGATAGTGTTGAAAGTTAGTTAAAGGAGCTAAATCGCTAATATTTGGGACCTAGAAATTGACACAAATGTGTCGCATCGCATATAATAATGTCATATGAATGTATATACGGATTTACATTCAATCGTGTCCGTTTTTACTCTAATTACAAATGGCGCCGAAACGCATTATGGTAAAATGTTTATTTTGTCTTAAATATTGGATATCAGAGGCCCATCTTTTCCCGGTAAGATAACAACATCAGTGTTGATTTGAATTGACAAATAATTTGTGTTTTCAATGTCGAAGACTTTGGATGATATTGAGTTAGAGACCTAGCTACTTTAAAGTGAAAGCACAACATAAAACGCTCAACCGAAAACGAATTTAATATTTTCATACTAATACATAATTATAGTTTATCCAGATATACTTCAAGCACTTCTATTATTTGGTCTTAATAATTTAAAAGATAGGTTGCCAGGCAACGAAACACCCGCCCACGCCAGCTAAGTCGTCCAAGCTGTCAACAAAATTTGTTTTCTTTTGACAGTAATGAAAACATTTACAATACACTAAAATCTGATTACGAGTAACAGCCCATTTGGCTTATAGTTCTGTCGTATACTAACCTTGAGATACATAAAATTTAAGAGTGTATCCGCGATAAGACCAGACAAAAATCACAAAATGTTCTAAGATGGGGGTTCGGAAGTTTTTGATCAAACTTATGGTATGACACCCCCTAGGGGCAAGAGGTGACATGCTGAAGTGGTTACAACCTGATGTCGCTTTAAAGGACTGTACTGGAAATAGTCATTTTATGGGTAAAATTTTGGTTTTCACGTGTGTATTTATCACCCTTTTTAACCACAGATTGCATTCTATGGTGCAATAGCAACCTTCTAATTTTGACCCTGTCTGATAAAGCGGGTGGTCAACTTCCACCCCAGCACTAATTTGAAAAAAGAAATCAGTCTATACTAATATTTTGTGGACTTGTTTTAGGGTACCATATTCACATTGTCACTGTAGTACAGAAAAAGATACACTGTAACTTTTTCTTTCATGGTAGCAAGTATAATTTCTTCGAATGATTTTGAAGTGCTAAGCGTATAGTATCAACAGGTGTAAAAAAATGACCGGAATGCAACATACTTAAAATATTGAGTTTATTGAAAAGTGCTAAAAATAAGCTTTTGTGATACATTTTTTTGCAAATTTAATTAGAGAAATAAAATTTTTGACTTTTATACGTTTTCTTCATATCCATAGCCATCATTTGTACCATGTAGTACTGTATATAAGTGTATATTTGCATTTATTGTATATTTTGTATTGTCGTCCTGTCCCTTTAACATATTTGTTGTATTGTCTCTTTAAGGTTTCATTTTCCAACAGGTCACGGAAAATGGCTACAAAAAGTTCAATTTCAGAGCATGTTTCCACTATTCATTTTGGGACACATCCACTGATTTCTACAATACAGAAATGTGGAAGCTTAAATTTTAACGGCAACGCAGCCTTGCGTCGAAGTGGGCGACGTTGAACAGTGTAGCATGGTAGCTACGGTTCTCAAGCGCTGTCAGCTACACCTTCAGGGCCGGGTTTAGAATAAGAGAGGCCCTAGGCAATCCCCCTGAACAGGGCTCGCGACATGGACCTTGGGGCCCTGGGACAAGCAACTCGGTGAGGGGGTGGGTCGGGGGCAATCATGCGGTTGATGGTTCGAAACTCACTTTTAGGTGAACTTTTCATTTTTGTTTGGATTACTTTATTTAAAATAATATCTATTTGAGAGTAATGGATATGTTTTGTTAAGATCATTTCATTGAGCACGTTGATACTCCAATGGAAGTCAATTCCCGTCGGCGCCAGATGGACCATGAACGAATACAAGCCTTCTATAGTATTTTGTCAAGACATTTTTTATAAAACAGATACTAATGTATTTTAGGGCTGATAGTAAAAACCATACTGTTAGTTTTTTTTATCTACTACGGTTAATTATCTCCAAAATAAGGAAATTGCAGGTTAATTTCATGGGTTATTGTTTCCTTCACCTAGTTTTTGTCAAGTCGATTCCGGTCATTTTTATTTTTTGTGTCAAATGTTGGGAGGTTGTTTGTTCACGCGAGCATATTTTTTTTTAAACCCACCTCATGAAAGAAGTAGCTATAGGGCGTCAAACTTCGGGTGACGAAAAATGGGGAATTTAGATAGGCTTTGATATCCAGTAACAGCAGTAGGTCATCTACAAACTGTGAGTTTGGTCTTTTGCTACGTATAGTTTAGGTGTGAGGACTTGCAAAAGTTGGAATTTGAAAAAAAAACTACGGATTTTGGCAATTTCACCATATGAAAAATGTTTTTTCAATATTCTCAGTCAGAAATTGAATTACACATTTATGTGTTTTGGGAGTATCCCAACTTATAAACCTTCTGCATGGTGTTCTCGTGGGCACGCTCTTAATATCAAGGGCCATAACAAAATCGTTGAAAATCGATAGGCCTCTTCGTCCCATGACCTTAAATATAAATATAAAGCAATCTGATATTAACTTTAGCCTCTAGAGCGTCCACAAGATTTTCAAGGTGATCAAGGTCTACAATAGCGGGATTTTACTGTGGTTCCCATTGGGGCACAACAAAAACTTAGACAATACCCCAGTGTTGATATTTTGTGAAAGTCCAAACACTAATGCCATCTGTGTGTCTGTAATTACTAATTTATGCTGCATTCACGATAATCTATCATGAAAATATACACAACAGATTACCAAGTTAATAAATGTCTAATCTGATCAATAATTTATATAATATTTAGCTCATGAATAATGCCCCTATAAATTAATTTTTATATATCTAATTGCAGGTGGCCTGGACTTTTACCACCTGGATAGCCACTGACCTCCACCCACCATCAATAAGTAAAATATAAATTATGGTACAGTTTACTGATTTATTTACATATGAATATAAATGTCTAGACTTTATACATCATTCAGGTCAGGTATAGTGCAAGAAAACAATAGACAGTTTCTATTATTCTGATATCAACATGCATTAAGGTAACAAAATCTACAATGGACAGGTTCTATTATTGTTCTGATATACGTAAATCTTTACGTAACATAATTTATAATAAAACTAAAAGTTTCATTCCATCTACAGTATGTCTGTATGTACACCAATTTGCAAGATTTTCATCAAATTCAGATGAAAACAGCCGCACAAATTATGGATATACCCTAACACAGCAGCTATGAAATATAGCTTTTATTGACATGACAGGAAATTTGGGGGTATAAAAAAGATAGAGGACATTAGTTACATGTATAATTGTTCTAAATACTGATACAACCCCATTTTATCTTTTTTTTGTTATTTCCTATTCAATCTGATTAAAATACAGATCTACATTTAATTTCGCTTTTTATACATGTACTGTTGATGGCCTCCGCAACATGAAGATCTGACCCGGCCTATAACATCAGCCATTCAATTAATCAAAGGCGGTGTTCCAAGCTGCTATTCAGAAATACAACTTTAGCAGGTTTGTGAGTTTATTTCCATGCTTTGCGACACTATCTTTATATACAGAAAACTCATCAAATTTGGTCCTTTCAGATAAACTGCTGTCGAGACAGCTTCAGTGTGGGGCATATTTCCATGCTATTTGTATACAGAACCCTCATCCAATTTGGTCAAAATTTAATTGTCTATTCAGATAAGCTGCTTTTGAGACATAGCTGTTGTGGGCGTATTTCCACGCTTTGCATAGCTATCTGTTTAAAGGCATTGTTTTTGGAAATATGTGGCTAATTTCCTGACTTAAGTTAAATTCTCCAATAATGCACAACGATTCCTGTCATTGAACTCAAGATAAACTGCAACAACTGTTCCACGAGCCGGACACACATTAACAATATATTCATACTTCATTAAACATAACTTTAGCACTTTGAAATTACTATTTTAAGAAATGTAAATGTAAAAAGTCTCTATTTCCTTATGTACAATTGAACATAAATCAATTTCTCCTTGTAATAAAGTGGGAATATTTAGTTGTACAGTTTTCTTGTACAAATTAGTTCTGTCTTTGTTTTGTTGGGCAGTTCTCAACAGCATCTCAAACCCTAAGAAAATCCATAAAATTTGTTGTCTTCTTGTTCAATGCTCAGAAATCTTGAAAATTATTTTCCACAATTGGATGTTGGCTATTCTATATCAAAAACAATACGTTATCAGACAACATAATCTGATTGGCATCCATCATAGTATCCACAGCTGCTTTTATTTCTTCATCCTTGAACTCATCACCGAGACGATCTTTGTTGACCTCTATACGTACTTTATCTAATTCTAATGACTGGGCATGTGCAGCTTTAAATACATTAAATAATGACGAACGGAAAGCCTTCAACCTGAAATATATAATTTTTGCAAATAAATAACATTTCATAGACTTTCAAAACATTAATATTCATTATCCAATTTTATTTTTTAAACCTAACCAAAAGCTCGCTTACAGTGTCTGCATGTATGAAGAACTCAATAAGTTCAATCCAGGAAATTACAGAAAATGAAAACTAAATCTGTTTACACCAATTGAAGGGCTCAAAATGTCCTTTCAAATTACTGTGGTCAAAAAGCTCAATCACTCCCCTTAAAAATCAAATCACTCAATAGTGATCAATGTGGTTGAAAACCTTTACCATACCATTTAAATTAACAAAATAATTTATTGCATGATCTAAGCCATAATTTACCTATCATCGGATATTTTTGGTTTATCACCCTTAGAGGTAGCGGTCTCATCTGTTTCCATGGCAGTATCATCATCACCCTTGGACTTTCGTCTTTTCTTACGAGATTCTTCTAAAGATTCTGGTGTCTCTGAAAATAAATTTCATATAATTCATTGACATGTGCATTGTTGTGTTTTCCTGATCAATGGTGTTTCCACTGACTTTTTCCATTCCCAACTGTACAAGTTTCTTTAATGTACACTCCACTCTTAGTTTTACATCCCATCCAAACAAGGCAACTCTTACCTCGACTGCCCTGCAGGTGGAACAGAGCACATCCCCCAAACTTACTAAGGCGTGTCTAAAGGGGCACATATCTACAGTAACAAGCATCTATCATTAAATCCTACTCCTGAATATTAATTTTCAATCTTACCATCTTCGCTAGCAGTACTTTCTGCTGATTCAAAGTCATATGGATCATAGCCTTCTTCTCCTTCTTTTAAAGGTGGACGTTGTTTGCTTGCTCGACTCTTCCTATAACAGAAAGAAATAGGGTTTAACATCCATTCAATACAAATTTATTTCAAGAACTAAAATGGTATATTATCAACATTTTGCTTACATACTGGGGTATTGAGCAGTGGGTGTAGACCATAGAAAACCTACGAGCTTAGCCAGGCTACCCTAATCCTGTGATGACAACAATGACACTTGACTCTATGACGAACCTTATGATCCGAGTCCACCCCCTCCTTTCTCTTACTTGTAAATGCAGTTTAATAAATTACTTATACAGCATCATTCATCCGAGTGGAAATAAAAGGATACATTATGCAAGATTTAGATGAAGAGCTGACCATTATTGATAGAATAGCTCAAAAATAGATAATGTAAAATGATTATATTGAAAATTTCATTCAAATTACCATACTTTATTCTGACCCAAGTTATCAATGTTTGCAGTTTTGACAAGATCTGTGCATTGTTTATTATCGTAACCACTGGTATTTTCGAGATGTAGCCTCACTTCTCCATTTTTTAAATTAAATCATTAAATCTAGTTGAAATCTCGGGCATCCAATGGCATCGAGAGTTGATTATGGTCGTCATGTAAATAAATGTCTAATTAATAAATTATATAACATTTAAGGCCTAAAGAAAGACCTGCAACGGGTAAATCTAGATCTTTAATCTAATGTATCTTGAATGAAACGTTGATAGAAATAAACATGAAAATCAAACTAACTTTTTACGTTTAGGTGTTGGTGCCTGTTCGACTTCGTCTTGACTTTCTTCTTCACTATCGTCTGGTTGTTTACGTCTACGTGATTTTTCTAATACCTGGATAATCAAGATATGTGAAGTTGGAAAAGGCTGTAATAAATCTATTGTTAACGATTCTGAATAAAAGTAATATTTAGCTTTTTGACTGTTACAGCAGCTTTAGAAAATTATGTTTGCTTTATTATTAACTACACTGTTTGGAACAGCATCCTTTGGTTTAGTAAAATTAATATCACCAAAGCTGCTTCTCAGGCAAGAAAAAAGTACTGTAGTATTTTCCTTTTGCTTTTACAAGGTTCGCAAAACAATTGTTGAGTTCGCTAACTTCAGAGTTACTAAATTAGATTTATCTAGCTTTCTCTCAATGTTTCGTAGAAAATCGTCCTGATTATCGTGGCCTGTCAATTAGCCAGAGAACGGTCCCGAGACAGGTTAAGCGGGACAAATTTCAAACCAAGGGCACGGTGCCTATTTTGCACTAAAAACTGCCCGGATCTAATGGTTGTTTGTCAACTTTTCAGTCTATTTCTTTTATTGATGTGAGAACCTAAGTTAAGGCTTGTTATCTATAATACTGTGGTATAATTTTGAAATATTTGGAGATATTTATGGTAGGGAACCCCTATGGTTGTTAACTATGACTAACTTATGAATACCATTTATTTTTCGTCTGATTAAACTCAATGAATGTTTACATAAAGCAGTCATTTCTTTTTTCTATCAGTCTTTTTTATTTACTCACAAGGTACAATAACACTTTGAAATTGGTTTCTCAATCCTAGAAATAGGAACTTCTCTCACCTTTTTAAAGTAAGCAAACTGAATGAGTTCAACAGCAGCTTGGGCATCTTGTAAATCAGCTGTTTTTGATAATCTGGCTTTAGCATGGGCAGTCGATAGACGGATCATAGTTTCCAAACAACGAGCTGTTACTGGTTGGGTCTAAAATAAACACAAGTATACACATGAATATCTTATTAAACTTACATCCCACTTCTACTCGTTGCCACTGGCAACCTTTGATAAAACTGTCCTGTTTATTTTCAATACATGCTTAAAAGTATCCGTGTATCAGAAATATACAGAAAGAGTACTGTTCATTTCTGATACACGATACTTTTATACTGTTTTAGATACCTATCAAGCGATAAATAGCCGACGACGTTTAGTCCGACCCAGATCGCAATTGATAACATGGCTCTCTACAATGCACAAGGATAATGTACATGAAACAACTAGTCAAAATCATAGTAACAAAACAAACCGGGGGGAACTACAAGGCAGTTCAAAAACATATACAATGACATTAAATTAACATATTACAAAAATCAATTATTATACATATCAATTGGCATCTATTTCATAATTTGGTTTGATTTATATTAATATGCAAAATATATAAATTAGAATATTGAATAATTATTTTAATTAATTGTGATGATAGAAGCGCAGTTCTCTTGCTGGACACTTCACAGGCATTGAAAATAAGCAGGGTGAAAAAAAAAAAAACGCCTAGAAAGTCATAAACTTTATTACAAATAAATTTCAACGGAAGAACCATCCGCCGATGCATACTTTTAACAGGAATGACCCACGTTTCACATTTCCTTTACACTACATTTAATAATATCGCAGCCCTCTACGCCATAGACAAGTTGTTTTGACGATGTGGTCTAAACAAACACGTGATTGTTTTACGCTCAGAGTACCATAGCAAGACGCACGTGTAAATACTACTCAGGTCATCTCTCCACTGCGAAATCATTCTACCATGAAATGTAACACGTGAGGCTCAGAAAGGGATAAATGAAAGAGCAGAAAGTATTTGTCACTTTTCGGTTGAAATGACTCGATAATAAATACTATTTTTCACATTTTGCTTCACAATACTCGATAGAAATGTGATGTAAGTAACTTATTAGCACCTTTCCTCGGTGTATCGGTGAATATCAGGACAGTTTTGGTCGGGAGCCGCCACGGCTGGGCCCCTCGACCAAAACTGTCCTGATATTCACCGATACACCGAGGAAAGTGTGCTAATAACTATTACATACATTATGCAAGAGCAAAATCTGATTATTGCAAGTCTTAATTTAGGCTTCAGATGTTATAGAAATTATAAATTAGATCTTTATTTAAACAACAAGCCCAAAATCAACTCTGTAGACCCACGGATGGCTCGGCTACAGCTCGGATTTAAATAGGATTTCACTTATTAATTAATTCAAATATGGCGCACCCTGATGAGAATACGTCGGTTAGATCGAGGCTAAATGATAGAGTGTACTTAGCGTGGCCACTGTAGAGCGTTTCCGCATGCCATTGAAAACTTTACTTGATAATCGAGATATGTAGGTGGAGTTAAAGCCGGTCAATCGAACGATCAGCCAAGGTGAAGGCACATTTCACTACCATTTCTAGTCAAATATTACAATGATGATAACTATGTTCAGAATAAAGTAATTTGACTGAAATTTTCAATATATTCTTCTTTCATCATCTACTTTTGAACTGTTATAGCAAGAATGGCCAACTCTCTATAAAAATCTCCCATAATGTATCTTTAATTAATAAATATTAACACCAGAATGACTTGAGCCTTTGGTTAAAGCCATTAGTTTCATTTACATTTTTCAAATAATATCGAACAGTTCAAGGCTAAAACATGTATTATGCAAGAGCTAAATCTGCCTAGACATTTATTAACAAAACAAGACCATAATCAACTCTCGATGGCATTGGATACTCGCGATTTTCACTAGATTAGAACGGTTCGCCATTTAAAATTGGGAAAGCAAGGCTAAGTCTCGAACATACCGGTGCCCTGGTTACCACTATGCACATATCTGGCCAAAACTACAAACAGTGATAACTTGGTTCAGAATTAAGTAATTTGAATGGAATTTTCAATATTTTCATTATCTATTTTTAAACTATTATAGCAAGAACGGTCAGCTCTTTATCCCCTCACTTGATTTGATATTTGTTTATTTGGCGCAATGTCTATTTTCTGTCTTGTCCGCAGGTTTATCTTGTAGATTTTTGTTTTGCATGTAGTGCGGTCCTCTTGCACTTACTATTAGAGTAGAATCTTAACCCTTCGTACTGTAGAATGTTCTCGCTGTTGGGCTTTGTTCCTGTTTGCTCACCACACTTATTATTTTAGCGTTTTCGGAGATACTATCCAGATTATCGCCCTTATTGTTAATATTGTTTGACGATCTAACTCTTGACATCCACTGGCAGACTATCGCCATTGAAGAGACGACCACTGTCAAGATTGGTCGCATTATTTCTCTTACGTCTTTTTTGTAAATCGTTTTTTTTTTTCATTTTTAGTTAAGCCTGTACCATGACAGGCCCTGGACTGTACAGCGCAGTGGATGCTTACGGCTGGCCCCTGGATCCATTCACTTAGTTTGATATTTGTTCCAATGTCTATTTTTTGTCTTGTTCGCAGGTTTATCTTGTAGATTTTTGTTTTGCGTGTAGTGCAGTCCCCCTGCACTTACTATTACATAATGGATCTTTAATGCACTTACCAAGACCATAATCAACTCTTGATGCCATCGGATGGCTGCTACATCATAAGTTGATTTAAATATGTTTTGTGGTTGATCGTAAAAATGGATAATCGAGGCTAGGTTATAATTGTATTGGCGTTATCTAGACAGAGTGATGTAATTTTCAGCATATTCCCTTTCCATTATCTATTTTTTTTAACTATTATAGAAAGAACTGTCGGCTCTATCTAAGATAAGTATGTGTATCTTGATGAGAACAAAATAGATGGGTTTACTTACCCTAGCAATGTGATCTTGAGCTAGATTATCCTGGTTACGTAGCTTGGCGTATTCATCCGCTATCAATTCTGCTGCTTCTCTTGTTAAACTAGGCTTCAAGGCCTTGGCTACATGAATGTATTTTCGCATAAATTCCATACTTAATATTCTGTCCCTAAAAAAACAAAACAAAATCCATTTGTCAATAAATACAAAATAAAGTTCAGGTAGGCAACTTTTTAAAGACTAACCATATACCATATACATTGGTTGTGCTTCATGATACATCAATGATTTTGCTCAAAATTTCAATGTTTTAGAGGTCAAATAATAGGAAAATAATCTGTTTGATTTGTCTTGAAAATAGTTGAATATTGTGTAATTTCAGTACAGGTAAATAATAATTCTTATTTTCTTACTTTTTAGATCTGGTAGCACCATGTAATAAAGCATCATATTTTTCATACATGGGCGTCTCCTGTTCTTCATTTCTTTCTTTATCTGGATCTTGTGTGGCTAATAAACTGACAGAATTTCCCATCTGAAGAGCTGTAATAAATAAAATATTACATGTTTCATAAACCCACGAAATTTCTAATCTTTGAAGCCCAAACAGGCCAATATAAAATGGTAAAAGTGTAAATATTGAGTTTAAAGCCCCAGAATACCCCCCCCCCCCGCCCGACCCAAAGATTAAATACAAGACCCAGCATACCCGACTCTAAGGGTAAATATAGTTCTTAAGACCATACACAACAAATATTACTTTTATTAAAAATAATTTGGTCCAAACGTTCAATCTATTAATTCTAACAAAAGTTACGGCACTCTAAGTTACACTGTTATCTGATGATTTCCCACGATTTTCTTGCTCCAAGCATGAATGTCAAATTCAATATTTGTTTGACATATGTACATTTGACATACCTGATTTTTTTATATCAGTGGAGTCAATATAGCCAATCGTAATATCAACAAATATTACGGCAAATGCTAACAGAAATAGATAAGATTAAAACCTTACCATCTCCATCTTGTTCCTGTGCCGATCTGTATCTATGCATTCGAAGAACATGATCCGAGATACGTCTGTCAAAATCTGGATCCATTTTATCCAATACAATAAACAGTAGATCAAAACGAGAAAGTAGTGAATCTTGTAGTCCGATATTCTCCATTGGTGTTTTATACTGGTCATACTGAAAGCACAATAATCACTAGAGATCACACCAAATGCTAATATTACTATTTGAACATTTAAAGCCACTATTCATTCAAATTAATTGAAATTCGCAAATTTTGTACTGTTTTGATGCATTTTCAGATTTCTACAAATTCTTTCACATCAATATATTTTATCTTTTTATTTTAAAATACAGAAGAATTTACTTTTAATTGACACTGAATGATCACTTGAAATGAAATGTACGACTGTTTTACCCGGATTCTGCGAAAAGACAATACTTACTCTGCCATATACAGGATTAGCTGCAGCCAATACGCTACACCTGGCATTTAATTTAGCATGGATACCCGCTTTAGCAATAGTTACCCGCCCTTGTTCCATCACCTCATGTATAGCTGTACGATCCATGTCAGACATTTTATCAAACTCATCAATACAGACAATACCGCGATCGGCTAACACCATAGCACCTGCTTCTAATCTACGATCACCTGCAAGTGGAAAATATTTCAAAATGTTACTAAAAATTTTAATTCTCTGTGAGGACTCCAAGCAAAAGTGTTGCCAGGTGTTCTTGAATCAAATTAAACAATAACCATTTTTAATTTAAATTGTTATCTCTGTAATATATTAGGTTTTTACAACAAGAAAAGGCTAATAGTTTCAATAATCCAATACCTGATGATCTATTTTTTTCAATTATTAATATGTACATTTTAATTCCACAATTATGAGATATTATATCAAACCTACCCGTTTCACTGTCTGTAGTAACAGCAGCCGTTAAACCAACACCTGATGACCCTCGGCCTGTAGTAGGTATAGCCCTTGGTGCACAATTCAACACGTACCTAAAACATACAGTACAAAAAATCTATACAATTATTCTATCTCAATGAGCAGCAGAGGTATTGTGTCCTAAAAACTGTGACAGACAGATCGAGAAATCTATTTTACTGGTCTCCTGCTTTCTCCTAATGGCCAGAACAAAGGACAAGACATTGTATTTTATTTATAATCTTACCGTAACATTTGTGATTTAGCAACAGACGGATCACCAATAAGCAGAACATTAATATCACTGAAAAATAAACAATACATTTATTTTGGGAGGTAAGGAGTATTGTAAACCATGGGCTAGATCTCATATACCAGTGTGGGTTGAAAATAGACTGGGGATTTCTCAATCCTGGTTCTCATTTATCAGGGGTGTCATCTGTTGAACCGACAATTAAGATGTTGCCCAGTGTTTTAAATTAAGACACAAACAAGGTTTATAAATGTACACATTTGGTGCATATAAATGAACTTTTTCACAGCAATCTAAGAATAGGGTAAAACACTGCTGTTGGGGCAAAATTCTCACTTATATTCCGCACATGACAGTAGTCATAAAATAACCATGTCAGTCTCAAAATTACCAAATTATTATGTTAACGAGACTTTAAACTCCTTTCATCCCCATAACAGTGTGAGGTCTAACTAAGGCAGTTGATGGACTGCATACAAATTTTCATTTTTTTAATTGCATTAAATAATTTGTGCTTTTACACTGCTGGGAGTTCAACTTCATAGATAGTGAAGAAACTGAACTTGAATTTACAATATAACCTTAATTTAAGGAAGTCAATTCAAAAACAAAGCATTATTTACAAAAAACTATTTGTAAGTATTCAGCTTTTCAATTTGAAAAGTAAAAATTTTGTTAAGATTTTAACTCGGTCAATTAAAATTTGAAATAATTCCTTGGTCTGTCAAAAAAGTACACATACCCTCTTAATCTTGTACCATTTTCTAGTATTTTCTCTGTACCACCAAGTAACATACATAACACAGCTTTTTTAATATATTCATGTCCATGTATTGATGGTGCAAGAGATTTAGCTAAAGCTTCAAATACATCCTGTTAAATAAAAAAACAAAATGTCAAATTTAATAGTGGAAATTTACTGAATCCAAGGACACAAACTTTGAAAATTAGCCAAGATATGCCTCTGTGATTAAAAGGATTGAATGACAAAGACTTCATTCAACTGAAATTCTATTGGCTTTATATGATTGGCATTTATTTTTGGACCATCATTTTTTTTCAGCCAACCAGATTAATAGGTTATTTCTGACCTCTACATGGTCTATGAAAGGAACAGCTAATACTTACCACATTTTTCTGTCGACCAAATTTTTTAATCTTTGCCACATCATCGGCAGAAAATAGCGGTGCGACTTCTTTACTCAATAACTGGATATTGTTGGCTATTAAAATAGTTCTGTAAAACAAAACAAAACAAAAATTATTTCATGTCAACCATATTAAATAGAATTGAAATAAAATGTGGTTTGACGTCCTATTGTTCTGCTCCCAAACTGGGCTAATGAAGACAGACATACCCCATAACAGTGTGCTATGAGGCAAATTTTACCCAGACAGCGGCACTATGGTCTACTCTTATATTGAATTCCCACTACCAAGGGTCTTTTACGTGCACCCCAATGTATACACAGGACCTCGGTTTTTCATTCCATCTGAACAAGGAGTTAAAACACATTGGAAAATCCCAATGAACTTTCTCGGCATATGCAGGGATTGAACACGCAACCTCCAGGCTAGCGAGATAGCGTCTCACCAACTAAGCCACTGTGGCTCCCATATCAAATAGAAATTAGTATTTTGTCAGTAAAAAAACATTTTTTTGTTGATGACTGGATATTCTTGGCTATAAAAATCAAAAAAAACACAACACAGTTTATATGGAAATACAATCACTGGTTTATAAGTATAGCACGACGTTTCGACAAGTATTCTCTTATCGTTATCAAGCAAATCAAAACAACAAAGCTACTGATTAGCCAATTGGTAAAAAATGGACAGAAACTTACAGTTTAATTATGAATCTAACATAAAAACCTACCTAAATGTACCAGATGTGTAGCCATTTTTCTTTCCTGGTAAACATCGGAAAGTTCCTATAACTTGAACACGATCTCCTGGCTGGAATAGAAACATTAATGAAAAAAGACATTTTTTAAATGGTATTTATCACAAGTTTCTACACTAAAAAATTCATGTTGTACAGTAAAAATTTGCCTGGTACATCTTTCAAAATTATCTTACAAATAAATTTTTTCCTCAGGGTTTGACAATTCCTTAATTCTTTCATTTGACATTTATGAGGTACCTTTCTTCAAATTAAGTCTTATAGCTATAAATGATATATAATTTCTAGATGGGAGACTGAAGCAACAGCATTCACATTAGACTGCAAAATCTGTGTTTTCACTGTGACATCATTTAATTAATACTAGTGTTCTAAATAAACCTGTATTTAATTTAGTGTACAGTAAAGTTTTGATATGTACTATGAAAATTAGTAATTGTGTGTGTAAATTCTGATGAACCTTGAAAATGCGATGTCTAAGATAAATCATTGAGTCATACATCCCTCTCGCATGTCTGACCAGAATATATTTTTGGGGGCAAGGGGGCAAGGAGAAATATTAATGAATGTACATACCTTACAGTTATCAACTAGATCATTATCAGCTATTATATCAATAGATCTAGGTAACTGACCGGGTGGCGCCTTTTCTGGCATTTCCTATTAAAAAAATATAAAACAGTTGCATTAATATTATGATGATGTTTTTACATATACTCCCAACCCCCTTTATCTTCAAATATCTGTTCAAATCAGGCAAATTCTCTGACAATGTATTTGAAATGATGGTACAATGGTACTGATTTCTCTAATGGAATTTTTTGTCATCATTTAACAACAAATTCTTTATCTTTTCCATTGGCATATTTTAATCGCAAGGAATGTTAGTAACGATTACAAAATAATCAGTTGAATGTTAATAGACTAAGAGGAAGGAAACCTAGTTGTTAGTCCGTAAATTAGAAACAAATGAATAGGAAAATTTCTCGGATGTGGTTACTAGAAATTGAACACAAATAGCACCAAGTGAGATCTCTCAGCTGATGTCACTAGCATAGTAGAATTGATTTCATTGCATTTGTTTAACTAACTGTTGTTGTTGTCCTTAGTGTTTAACATCCGCTTCCACCGAAGATGATATCGCAGGCAATTTGTGTTATTTTCATTATCTTAGCCAACGCGCAGGGGTCTTTCTGAGGGAGGAAACCCGAGTAAACCCATGAGGCTGAGAAGGCGCCCCTTTCTCCATGCCACATACGCTCACACCAGGGATTGAAACCACAAGTGACACTTTAGACCACTAGGCCATCGCAACCCCCCTTTAACTGACTAATACTAAACAGTTTAAATAGTCCAGAAAATATCTTCCAATCGTCCAGTCTTACCTGTATACTGAATGTTTGATGGTCTTTGTAAACTGATAATCCAAATTCTGTTTCTAATAAATTACCATCTTCATCTTTAGTTGGGTAGACAGCACTTGATGGATGAGCTTCTAGTGATGTCATGTCAGTGTACTTTCTTTCTATTGTCTTCTTTGTGGCTGGACAATAATGCACACTCCTGACTATTTTAGGTCGGATCAATGAGCCTTAAAAACAGGTACGGTACAATTTACATTAAAAAAATCAGTAAAGGAAAAGAACTTTGTGCACTCAACACAGTATTTTCTGTGTGTAATGTAAATGAAACAGGGTTCAACCTCCTACTGTTCTGCTCTGACTTGGCTAATGAACAAATTTTGCCCTTACTCTACATGTACATCATATTCCAACTCCAAAGGATTCTTTTACGTGCACGCCAATATGTAAATGGGACATGTGTTTTTGTCCTATCTGAACAGTTATACATAATTCCTTGCCAGGCCCTCCGTCCTACAACACTGATAAGGGGTAATCACCCCGGAAAATCCAGATAAACATTCTCGGCCACCACCAATATCGAACACAGGACCTCCGGGTTAGCGAGCCAACGTCTTACTCAGAACATTAACGGCCGAATTTAACAGTTGCAAATCCTGGTAAAAAACACAACAGTACTTGTGCAGTACCAGTACTGTATGTTCGGTCTATATATTTCTTTTCTGGGATCTTCAATTTAGATTTTATATATTGGATAACAAAGAGAGGGAGAGATAGAGAGGGGGAGAGAAATAGATATTAATGTCCACTCGACACAATCCAGGTCATTTTGGGACTAACATATGGTTCAATTTTATTTTAATAATTCGCTTGTGCGTAGGAGTCTTTAGCAGTGGGAGGAATTTGGAGGACCAGGAGAAAACCCATGAGGTTGGACAGGTAACCCTACTCCTTGTCACATACAACAGTGGAATCGAAACCACGCCAGTTGAATCATTGACAGACCTTGTGGTACAGCGCAAACATGCTAACCATTCTGCCATCTAACCCACCCCCCTGAGACAGACATAATAACATTTTTAATAAGAGATACATAATAAAATATAGACACTTACATTTTGTTACTATTCCTTCTAGACAAACCATGTTACCAAGGAAACGGGATGTTAATGTTCTAGGATTGACATGTTTAGCACCAAAACTGAAATATATAAAAACATTAAATGTTGCGCAATAATATTTCAATGTCATTTGTTCCATAACAAGTTTTGTATAAAAGGTGTACAGCTTCTCTTGGCCAAAGACATAGTTCACTTAATCATTAATTATTTTTTTTAAAGTTCTTTTTATGTTCTGAAATTTCAGTTAACCTATCCTCAGATAGTTGAATATAGCGATGTTCTGAAAATGGGAATATGTGACTCTTCACTATAAATGAGAAACAGGATGACAATATGACAGCGACCACCTTCATACAGGAGTCGGAGCATACATGTATGCTCACCAACTAGCCTGGCAATGTCACAGTTGTTACCTTCCTTACAAAATGATTGCCAAATCAAGTTTTGAATAAATTTGTTTTACCTTCCTTCAAAGCCCACAAAGAATTCTTCATGTTGTTTTGCATGTAGAGGATCAGCCGACGCCACAAGTTCCTTAAGAGCTCGATTGAATGCAATCAACTCTTCAAAACATTCATTTAATAAACTGAAAAACATAAATAGTAGATAATATTTTTCATTAAAGATAGGTTGCCAGGCAACGAAACATACGCCCACAGCAGCTAAATCGTCCGGGCAGTCAACAAGTGTTGTCGCATATTTTTACTTCTTTCGGTAATGAAACATTTATAATACACTCATGAAGTAATTATCAGAAAACCATTAGAATTTGTTTGGTTTTTAATATCATGGATTCAGCTGTTCAAGTCATAAAAATTCATTGAAAATCAATATACTTGTTTGTCTCAAGCTCTTAAACTTTGTATATCAATCTGAAGTCAATCGGATGATAACTTTAGGCTCTAGAGCATCACACGATTTTTCAAAGTGATCAAGGGCCATAACTGTGACAGTAATTATCGAAAATCACTGAAAATGAATAGACTTCTTTGTCTCATGACCTTAAACACTGTGTATAAATTTAAAGTCAACCGGATATTGACTTTGGCCTCTAGAGCTGCAACGATTCAGTTCGGTGCACCGATAACCGACACTAGCCGCCTCGGTTCGATCCACGATCTACAACGTTAAAATTTCGATTTGGTTCAATTGCAAATTAAATTTCAAATAAAAACAACGTACACCTTTCCATATGAAATAAAATGAAAGACCTGTAACAATTAAGTCCACTTAAAATTTAAAAAAAACTTTGTTTTTACGTAACTTTTAATTTACGTTATTTAACAAGACACGAATGTCACTCGAAAACATAACTAAAACAGAGTGACCTCCCTTTAAAAAAATTCCGTATGTTGACAAAAGTTAATTTATTTAAAATTGGTGACGTACCGTATGTTCATTGGATGTTAATTTAGGTCAATAGCTTCGGTAATCGTTATAAATTATAAACGATCTCTTTAGCTGATAATTCCGGTCATTATCTTCGGATATTTTCGTGTTTAACGATTATTACCCGTATTACCCGAAGTCAATCGGATATTAACTTTAGCCTCTAGAGCATCCACAAGATTTTTCAAAGTGATCAAGGGCCATAACTCTGGCAGTAATTATCTGAAATCGTTGAAAATCAATAGGCGTCATCGTCGCATGACCTTAAACACTGTGTATAAATTTAAAGTCAATCGGATATTAACTTTGACCTGTAGAGCGTCCACAAGATTTTTTGAAGTGATCAAGGGCCATAACTCTGGCAGTAATTATCGGAAATCGCTGAAAATCAATAGGCTTCTTCGTCTCATGACCTTAAACACTGTGTATAAATTTGAAGTCAATCAAATATTAACTTTGGCCTGTAGAGCGTCCACAAGATTTTTTGAAGTGATCAAGAGCCATAACTCTGGCAGTAATTATCGGAAATCGCTGAAAATCAATAGGCTGCTTCGCTTCATGACCTTAAACACTGTGTATAAATTTAAAGTCAATCGGATATTATCTTTGGCCTTTAGAGCGTCCATAAGATTTTTTGAAGTGATCAAGGGCCATAACTCTGGCAGTAATTATCGGAAATCGCTGAAAATCAATAGGCTTCTTCGTTTCATGGCCTTAAACACTGTATATAAATTTAAAGTCAATCGGATATTAACTTTAGCCTCTAGAGAGTCCACAGGCAATTGTGGACGCTGGACCGACCGACGGATGACAATAGACGACCACATTTCAATGTGGGCGTATAAAAAGAGAGATGCACCAGTTGAAGATTAAATAATTTGACAATGTTCACATTATGATGCAGGACAATGTAAGCCAACTTTCGATTCATGCATCATCGAAATCTTTAAAACTGGGGCAAAATTTTAAAAACTAATTATTAACGGTTAAAAGTCATTGCCATTGGGGTTACTATCAACTCAATACAAACTAAGTTATTTCACTACTTCACAGTAACTTTTTTTCAAAAATTTTTTTTCACAGTCCTTTACCTGTGGGGGGGGGGGGGGGGGAACTGCAGGACCTAGAGAATATTCACAAGGTTAGGTAAGCAACACTACTTGTTGCATTGACAATTCTGGCATTGAAACCATGCCAGACCTTATGATGTTAAGTCCCCCCTCCTCCCCAGGCCCATCGAAACGCCATAATGTGATAGAAACTTTAATTACTAGCTCAACTCATGGGTTTATAATACTATGAGTAGATAGCACACTAAATCATGTAGGAGTTGTTAATTTGCATATGGAAGTTTCATTGGTATTACTTTTCAGTGATGAACACCTCTTTAAAAATTGCTCATTTATAATTTTTACCTGGCGGCTCGTTTAGGATTTTTCTTTCTAAGATCATTGATATTAACTGTTAGACGAATCTGATTCTCTGAGATCATATCCCTAACTTTCTGTTGATATACACCCTGATCCTCCTGAAGAAAAATAAAGAAAGACAGATTTGTCATTACCATATACATACATGTACAGGTATATTTAATAACAGGTGCCTTTTACAACCCATCAAGGCCTCACAAAATCTTAATTCGACACTGTTAACCCTCAGATTCTTTTGAAGGGTAGGGCCTAATATTTTGTCAAAGTTCACAAGTAAATTCATTCAATCATTGTCAATATTTTACAGAGCCCATGCAGCCCAATGAATTTTCTGTCTACCCCTGCTAGCTGCCCTAGTGCTAAGTGAAGTCTTTTTTTAAAAAATTATTTGGCTTCACAATCATTATCAATCAATTTAAAGTCACCTAGATCTACTGCTAACTTAAATTTTACTAAACTAACTGGTTAATATCAATGACTGTTTGAATGTACCGGTACCCGGCTTATAGTATACTAAGTATATAGTCAAGATAATTAATTTTGATTAAGCCCATGGGCATGGCTTATAATAAAAGAATTAAGCCGTCGATTCTGAAAAATTCTGACTCGACCAATCTCCTTTATTCGAGCATCTGAATGCTAAGTGATATTCGCTGCTGTACCTACTAATAATTTTAGCTAATATGATGTATGACCATTCTGCTCGAGATGCCCGAGTTTGATAATTAATGATTGTCAGATTGAACTGATATTATTTGTGACATAAAATAAATACTAAGACTTTGAAAATATAAACAAAACATACATCATCGTCAAGAAAGTCGAGATATTCTCTCTGGATTTCCTTCAAACGTTGATCAACGTCGTTGTTCATCATGTTGCCAAGTTTTCTCTCAGATCTAGGGCCTATTTGATTATAAAGATGTTGCTCTTCTTCATCAAAACAATGACTTTTCCCGCAATATTTAACCCACGTGATAAATACCGCGGGAAATATCACGTGGTCAGAAAGGTCGGGTCAAACCTGAAGTCCTACGTTATCAGTTTATTCATTTACAAATTTACTCATTTGTTTTGATAGGAATTTAATCAATGATAAATTTTTGTGGGTCTTATTTGTTCAAAAATAGCATGACGGTTGAAAAATATTATTTAACAGATTTTTGAAAATCAGATTAAAAACTTACAAGTTACGGTGCATCAATTTAAAATGGCAGCTCCCATGTCTTCGAAAAATCAAAACAAACCATTTTAGAATCAGAAATTTCCGATCCTTTGGTGTCACCACTAAGTCAAAATCGCAGATTGTTAATGTCAGGATCAACAAAAATCCCTAGCGTGGAATATACTTTCTAAGAATAATTTTGGGGAGAAATCATTAAAAATAGGCGAGACATGGCAAAAGAAGAAATGCCAATGACGTCCCTAATTTCAGTAAAAATGTCTTTATTTGTAACACATGGAAAGGTTTTTGTGTGGAATACTGATGGTAAGGCTGCGAAATGTATAAATTAATTACTTATGTGACGTCTGCTAAAAAACTTGAACAGACTCACTCAATAAAATGGAAAGTTTGATCTTATGAAATGGAAAAAAATAACAGAATTCCCAATGTTTGAAATGGAATTTCTCATTTAGACTAGAGTCACATACAGTCATCACCCCTAAGTAAGATATAAATGAATTAGGATTCTTTCCTTATTTTGTAGATGTAATGAAGTTACGAGAAGATTATAGAATAGTGGGTAATCTAGTCGGGTGTTTACCTCGAGCACCTAGACAAAATATACAGCTAGGTTTACCTCTTCAGTTAGCACCTTATGAAGTAACATTACTACTTGAAAAAGGTTGGTAGTTATAATAATAATCAAGTAGATCTATATACAGTTAGTAAATAAGTGAAGAGTCCAGGGGAAGAACAATCTAAGTCACATTTTTGTCTTTTCGCATAAAAGGCAAAACAGACTTTTGGACGAGAATGCTTGACGCGAACAGAACGAGTTGGTTTAGTTCCTTAAAAAAGTGACTTAGATCGTTCTTCCCCTCTTCAAGTACTGATTAGAAACTCTTAGAAACCTGTCCTAAATGGAGTCAAAGCCATTGAAAGTAAAAAAAAAAAAACAAGGTAACAAAATATAGATTTGTACTTTAATCAGATTATCTTTTTTTTTCTTTTTTTTTTCTGCGGTGATAGGTTTATGTGAATTATTAGAATCTGTGAAATTGTCTTCACAAGTTGATGAAGATAGAATGAAACAATTTACAGACATGCGACAGACATCCCACCAACAGCAGGTTAGTCATCTTATGATATCCTAATTAAAACGATAGGAACTTTTTATAGTAAACACATATTGCTGCCATGTGAAATAAGGGGAAGGTAACTTCAAAACTAAAATTAATTTTTGCAAATTGGAAGCACAACAAGTAATTTCTCTTTAAATTTTGATAGGTTATTTTGCAAAAAACAGTTGGGATGTAAAACACAAATTTATTCATGAAAAAATATTGGTATATTAGTTAGTCTCAAATTGAAATAAATAATGTCACTTTCTATTTCAGATTCCACTTTTTATTGATGAAAGAAGAAAAGAAATAAATCAGCATCGTCATAAAATAGTAGAGGGTAAAAAAGCTAAGAGACATAAATTAAAACAAGATGGAGTTGATGATGAGAATAATGGCATGGAGGAGAGGGAAGATGATTTTAACGTAGATGATATTAAGATTCCATCCATTAAACTAGAGCAAGCCATTGTACAATTATTTACAGGTACAGTCAATCCTTTACTAAGCAACTCCATATTGTCCAAACTCACTCCATCTTCAATAGAAGGCTTGATCTCACTTTAACTCAGGAACCATATCAAGGTCTTCACATGATGCTTTATTTTTTTCGTCAATAATTTTGATTGGTCTAGGACCCAGATATAGACCTCTCAGATTCCTCGATAGAAAATATCATTGCGGACACCAAGTCTCACACTTTCCAACTAAAATGTCTACCTCTGATAATCCAGTTGCAAAGTTCAAGGTTCGTTCAACCGCAGCTTTTCCGCATGCTTATGATATGAACCACTCCACATCTTAGTCCATCTGTTAGTATATCTGCTTTTTTCACGTTTTCAGTGTGTTTTTCAGTTTAAAAAAAGCATTCAACAGCTGTAGCCATATCTATTCCTTTATGTGTTTGTATCACAACCTCTGATTGGAAAATGTTATTGTTGACGTTTATCGATAGAAGGAGATAACATACCTTAAAGTTCAAGAATCTCAGGCCAAACTAGCAACTGCTAGCGGTCTTTGCTTCAGCCCATGGTACAGTCAATAACATTCACAGCTTTTATATGTAATAAATGTTGATCTATTTGAATTAATATTTTATCACCATTGAGTATGTTTATTTATGTCAAAATATCAGTTGAACAGGATTGGTCATTTTCAGAGATGATGCATCCATGATGGCACCTGGGTTTAATCCCTTAATAAAATAAGCAATGGTTAATCGGCCCATAACCATCGCTTCAGGAATATGAGGATACACTAACATCTATTTTTCTGATTAACTGTCAATTGCACAAAATGAATCACTTTTATAAAAATAAGGTGTATTTATTTCAGAAAGTCCATGGAAATCTAGAATATCATCCATACATAAAGAATGGCAGTATCCTGAATCGGATTCTGATAAATTAAGATATGCTGTATTCAAAGATTTGTGGGAAAAAAAATACTACTTGACATCAGGGACTAAATTTGGTGGAGATTTTCTTGTTTATCCAGGTATGTTTGTGAACACTCTTTCTACAATAGTTATTATCCGAGCTGCATAAAATTGATATTAGTAACTTGTAAATGCTCCAATTACCTACAAAAGAATAAATATGTGACAACCCCTGTTGACTACTCGGGACGATTTAGCTGCTATGTTTCATTACCTGGCATCCTATCTTTTTGCTAATTAGACATTTCTCAGGTTAAAAAATATTTGGGTTTTCATAGAAAGAAATTTGACATAATATTTGGTACAGTCTTTATTTCGGAACATATCTCATAAATGTTTTTAGATATCTTTATTATGAAACTTTGTACACACATAAACCAGTTATAGCAGTAGCTAATAAGAAATTTCTTGGCTTTAAAATATTATTTTTTGCTTAAACCAATACAGATATGATATACTTCCTCACAACATCACATTTTAATTTCAGGTGATCCAGCTCTGTTCCATTCCTTCTACATAGCTGTTTGTATTCCTCATAATGATAAGTTAACTGCGCTAGAAATAGTGACATTAGGTAGACTTGGTGCCACAGTCCGTAAAACAGTAATATTGTGTTCTATATGTGATAATGAAGTCTACTATACTTCTTTACAATGGACTGGCATAACCTAATTAAATTGAGCTGGTTTAACTGATCAGTATGAACATTAGTGCATCCCGTTGATACATTATTAAGTCACTGTGTGTCATCAGCCGTGCCATGCCAACCTTTATCCTAGTAATGTCATTACATTTCCGACAAATTACAAATTCAATTTCTGTATGGGGTAGGCCTGGAGTCCCTTCATTCTTGTATTTCCACCCTCTTTTCTTGCCTGGATACCCTTGTCTTTATACATGTCATAGTGGTGAGTGATAGTCATGATTATCAAGTCATCCAGAGTGAAATTCATTTTACAAGGTCCATATCAATTTTCGATTAGGTTAGAACAATTACATAAATATTGGAACTTTTATTCGGATATCTGTTAACGGATATAAAGTAATGGTTATCGAAATCATTCTACTATCTGTTCCAATCTTCTGAACTTCTGTTGTGTTCAATATATAGTGATTTGATGATATTTTTGGACTAAAAACATATTCAAACTAATTAATCTATCAAACATTTGCCTCAAATCCCTCTCAAAACATTGTATTCACGAGGAAATACCCCAAGATATAAATAATCTATTTTTAGAAGCCATGGTTGATTGAGGGAGGGCCCATTTTCGGAATGTATTTGTCGTTAGTTACTGTCCATTTGCCATACATACTGAAGCTTAAGTAAATTCTTGGATTAACTTCTCCCAATTTCTTTTTCCGCCATTTAATTGCAAGGTCTTTTGTATGTTTAAATCAGGCCTTGAGATCTGAAAGTCACCCTGGAGTGATAAAATGTGTTTGCCATATATTTTGCGGGAGTTATTTAAGACTGCCAATTTTCTATCTGAGACAATGCTTATTGTAACTAGTTAACATTAAATTTAAAGTGTATAAATAATACATAAACACTGTTTAATACATGTAGTAATACTGTAGTAACTGTTCATTATAAAAAAAGCATTTGAAGAATTCATTTCTTTTGATATCATCATATGTATGTCCAATTACATTTTGACAGCACCACAAATTTATTACATTTACATTACGGTGATTACGACTTGTTGACATCTCTATCTATGATGCGAGGGCTACGATCTAGTGCTGTAGGTAGTCAACTAAACTTGACACACAACAAACAATACTGGGCTTCTGATATGCCTTTTAATCACAAATTATGCCACTGTATGTCAGCTTGTATGCATATTATTTATTTACTATCAAGTTAAATGAAATAATGAACAAAAACAAGCCTCTCTTTGATAGGTTATAATACTAAATCATATCCCCACCATTCTGAATGAACCGGTAAATCGCTTATTATGATTGGCTACTATTTTTGCAATTAGATTGAGGTTCTCATGGAGACAAAAAGATTACATTTCTTCACTGTATTTTGAATATTTTTGGGGTTTTATATCTGTCAGTGTTTTTAAATAGTTTTGGCAAACTTCTGAAATAAATCTGTAGAAATGCGCATCTATGTATTTTTTACAACCGATCTAAATTTCACTCTTCCCTTCCAACCTCGCTTCTGTTTCTTCACCTTGGAATCGCTTGTTAAATTGATAATTCCATATCTCGGAGGATAACTTTGCACCTGAATAAAATGAACAGCGGTATGATGGTGACATCTAAAATTGATCAGGGCTTTGTGGGGGAGAATTCATCCATGGTTTTGGAGACGATGTCGCCCACCATTTTGAGCCCAAAGATCGATGTTAATAAAGTAATGGGTGTTTTTCAGGGAATCCAGTATTTTTCTAGTGAGATTGGGTGTCTCTACTTTCCATTATACCAAATTATTGGAAATAACTACACTATAAATACTTCTGTGAGAATGTATCTTAAAATTATTAATGCACAAAAGAAGTAAATAAAAAAAAATATTCTTTCATCTTTACAGGATACAATTATGAGTATAATATAGACTTTTTGAGTCATTTTGTTCAAGAATTTTACATTTCAAATAATCGTATAGTAAACAAAGGTATTCGGATCCAAAATCTCAATTCGATTTTCAACACTAAATAATGTACTATTGGTAAATTACGTATATTGCTGACACATCGCAAGTGATACCAGGTGTTCTTACAGATCAACATTCTAAAATGTAATTTACTTGATCATGTCTTCTAGCCTATGCCAGTCAGTGATTTAACTGTGCATATATTTTGTATTTTTTTTTTAAAAAAAGAAAGATATCAATATCATAATTTTATTATTTTGTGATTATTTACATAATGATAATGAGGTCATTGAATGTGTCTATACAATATTTATAAAATCCGCTCCCTTGTCTCTCTATAATCTTCGGTAGAACAATACAATCTTCATCTAGCATCAAATACAATCACTAATATCAAGTTAAAGAAAATAAATTGACAACTAAATTTGAAAAATTAAAAATCGCCCCACTAAATAGCTTTCTATTTCCTGTGGTCTTTTTTTACTCACATTGCTTTGCAATATACAGTAAATGAAATGGGGTTTAACGTTCTAACAACTGGGTAATGTCGACAGGCAAACAACATACAGTGCTTTAATAAAAAAAAAACCTTATGCTCGAACAGCAGCATTTCCCCTATCATCATCAAATTCCGACTCCCAAGGGTTGTTTTATGTGCATGCCAAATGGGATCTTGGGCTTTATTTTTAGTCATCTGATCAAGTAGATACTGTTCCTTGCCAGGCCATCTGTCCTGCACCACTGACAATGGGAAACCTGAGGAAATAACCAAATCTGCCACTGGAGGACCCCACTAAAATTAAACCACTTCCATTGGGTTTTCGTGGGTTATTCTCAAGAAGCAGTTTATTCATGACATACCATAATTCAATTGTTTTGTACTTTTATCATTATTTTATATTTTTTGATTTTGACATGAAAAAAATAAAGTTTTTCTGCTGTTTCTCGCTAAAGTTTTGATCTCAAATGATAAGATTTGGATTTAATTTTTTTCAGAAGGATACATCTTTTTGTTCTCTTTTTATACATGATTCTATATCCACATTCTCTACAACGGATGGGATCCCGGGCCTTAACTTCATTCTCTTGATGGCATTCTGTAATAAAAATACATTCATTAGTGTTTACTCAAGTTGGCCATGGTTCGCATGAAGCCGATTTCTGACACATTTCACACATAATGAAGACCATATGTATAGATTAATTCATATAGATAAATTTTCAAGTACTCGAATTTCCCTGGTATACTGAACAATATACTTTAACATCAGCGCCCCACAGTAGGCAATATTAAAGCTTCATTATTTTCAAGTGTGAAATTTCTCAAAAACTACAAACATTTTAAGATTCAGAAAATGGACAGATAACAGGCCTCAAAATAGCCATAATATAAATTAGGGAAAGTATTAACATAAATATATACTTATATTTTTACCTCCACAAATATAAATCATCGTCTGTGATTTAGCTGGACCACTTGCATCTTTACCTTGATCCATCGTCTTCTGATTTGTGCTTCACCACAATCTGAATTATCAAAGTTTTGAGTGTGATAGAATTGATAATTTAACCTTATCTCCTAGTTTTATTTAGTGGTAAGTTTATTCCTTGTGATACTCATAAAATACAGTGAAATCCCACTTTACCACCATCTCAGTATCATAGGCTACTCATGTATACTTCCGTAATTTAAAGGACTGTATTAGATTTATATTCTAGGATTCCAACTCATTCAGTATAAAGAACTCTCTAATGTAATGTAACTGGTCGCTGAAGCAGGATTTATATTTATAATACTACTTACAATGCGTTTTTCAGTGGTTACATGTATCTAAATTTTTCAGTTCATCAATTAATAACATATATTACACTTATGTCTTTTATAACAAATTATTCAAATAAGGGCTAGAACATTATGGCTCATCAGCACTTGTGACTAATAAAACACATTAGACATTAGATAAGTCTGTCATTATTTAATGTGTTTTATTAGTCACAAGTGCTGATAGGAATTAATGCCATAATGTTCTAGACCTTATTTGAATAATTTTGAAATCTTTACATAGAAAGTTTCATTATATTCTCTGAACGTCATTTGGGGGATTATTAATCCCTTGCAAAACTATAATATTGTGAAAGTATAATTCTGAAAGGAATATCAATACAAAAATAGATCAATTCTGTTCAGTATTTAAAAGGTAAGATGAATTAAAAATGTTGTGACATTGTGCATCCTTCAGAGCTGTACATCTCTCAAGACTAATGTCTTATCAATTTCAACATTTCAGAATCCCAAAATATCAAATTCAATTGTCCTGTGAGTGTGACCTACAAATGACAAAACTCCAAACGAAGTGATATAACAGAGCATGAATCGTAGCTAAAAACAAACACATCAGATTTATTTTTAGTGACCAGAATTGAATAGAACAATGTCAAAGTTTCAATAAATGAAATATAGTTCACCTCTAGATATCACAACATTTCGGCCCCGCGACCTTTCGGACTCATCACAAATGACCTTTAGGACTCTGATTGACAACAGTTCAGACTTACTTGACAGCGTTTCGGATTTGCGCTGGAGATGTTTCGGACTCGGATGAATAGATAAAATACTGTTGAAAATATCTGTGGTTTTTTTCATTTTATGTGAGGCTGATAGTTGTTTTTCTTTTATCAAACAGTGAATAAGCTTGATTGGCTGATCACTGCTAATGTTTTTATAATTGTGAAAGTCTAAATGTCTTTTTTACATGAAACGGAATAAACACACTGCCATTATCGATGATTGACAACTCAGGTTTTTCCTTATCCACCAAAGAACGGTACTATACAAAAAAAATCAAGATTATCTGTTAATCAGCTTTAATTATTCCGCTTTGATCGTTGCCATTTCTAATGTTTCCCGAAAAGACCTTTCTTTGTATGCACTAATTTACCAATTAGTACTGCCTTCTATGGCAAGCTTATCAAGAAATGCATTTCAACGTGCAGCTTACGGACTATCGTTAAAAATTTCTAGGAACTTGTAAAAACAGTGCATGTCAATATTTACTTTCGTTTTTGTGTAGGTCATTTTGAAATAAGTTCATTAGGATATTACTCTTTTTACAAAAATATATTACTTTTACGACAAATTAATGATGATTATCAAAGAATCGCAAGTGTAACTTATGGTTTTTTGTTTGCTAGAGCGTTTTAATAACCACACGTTTCATTTAATATTTTCTAATAAATTCATCAGCTACCTTTTTTTAATATCAAATATACAAACATAGTACAGATACAAATAAATAAAACAACATTATTTTCGTAAACCTTCAACATTAGAAATATTGCCTTCCTTAAGAGGTCTGTACAGTGCATGGTCCACATGCTCTACTTGATGGCAAACGGTAAATTTTACCTGCATGTTATTTTTATAAAATCATTTTGGGGTAATTATAATAAATTGATTTGACAATTGTGTTCAACCTTTCCTTTCCATTATTTCCCCGGGTCCAAATCGTCACCTGCCTGAGTCCGAAACAATGAGCCCATATTCTTTTGAGTCTGAAAAGTTGTAAGTTCAAAATGTCACAGGACCGAAATGTCATGTAGTAATCCACCACTATGCTGTTGAAAAATAACCTAAACTATACTAGCTAAGACTCCTAAATTGACCTTTGAAGAAACTTTTCAAGACTACACAGACCAGCTAAAAGGAACAAAGGGTCTACATACAGCTGAAAAATTATGGATATTGATATATTACAATTACAACTAATTAAATTTAATAAAGTAAACAATTGAATTAAAACAAAAAGTGATTGTGAGCAATCAGCAAGATCTTCAGATTTCATATCTCTATGAACACAATTTTGGCTTTGCTTCTTTGTTGAATAGATTCTTGTAAAGGAAGCTTACATGTTATGAAATTTATGTAGTATTTTGAATTATTTAACATATAGATATTTCAAAATATTCTCGGTAGCGCATGATATTATTGTTAGTGTCTATCAAGCACATGTACCGGAAGTTTACCTGTAGATCACGCGAGCGGCGGTAAAATCTCGCGAGAGCAATAAAATTCATAACAAGTACGCTGATTGGTCGATTTAACATTGGCGAACGATTTGAAAGGTGCTTTTTTTTGAATCAGAAGACGACAACAAAATTTTATCAAACTCTATGTTTTTATTTTTTTAGTGACAAATTTTCAACGTTTATTGGTAGGTATAACTCTGTTCTATATCTAGATCGAATTTGGAAGGAATCGGGAACGGATTTGTCGATTTATCTCCTGATCAAATTTTGAGCGGCCATTCCCGCTTGACTTGAGCTTGCAACGAAACGCGACAAGCCCAAACCGCTATTAAAACAACAGAGTACATCATGATAAAATGGGGAAGCCATCCCGGCTCATCTGATTTGTTGTGAAGCGATGGGGCCTGAAGTTTTAGAGGTATATTCTTTTTATCATAGTTGAGACTTTTTCAGTCAGCAGATGAGGAATGTCAATGTGTGAAAGATGTGGGAACATTTACATTACTCTGACTCATTCATTTTCATTGTCATTAGCCTGGTTTTTGACACCATATTTTTAAACCTAGCCTAGATCTAGATCTAATAAAACTTTTTTAAAGGGCATAGATCTAAATAAAGCTTTAGCTCAGTATTATCGACAGTCTTACTTACATATTACAAACATAAATTATTGTTTCATTCCTCTAGTCTAAATGGTAAAAAATTAATTATGGCTACATGTATGTATGGGATCACTGTCCATTTAGACTTATGGCCGAATCATGATGAATGGTTAGCACAGTGTGGGCCGTGTGTCATAAGGTCTGTCATTCACATTGATTGAGTCAACTGGCGTGGTTTTGATTCCTTGGTTGTATGTGACAAGGAGTAGGGTAGGCTAGTCTATCCAACCTTGTGGGTTTTCTTCGGTTTCCTCTCAGTGCTAAAGGCCCATACGCGCGATTGAAGCAAGTTATTGAATAAAATTGAACCATGATGTTAATGTTATAGTCCCGAAATGACCTAGTTTGTGTCTAGTGGACGTTAAACCCCATCTAAGATAACTCGTATATATGTGATTTTTCAGGCGAGTGAGCGTAAAACTCTGATTTGGGCTCAACGTTGCGAGGCTTTTAAATTCAACTAAATTGTTATTTTGTATTTCCAAAGTCAACAATTTGGTGTTATTTTTTTTTTTTTAAATTTTTCAGGTTGGAAGTTAATCCCATGAAATAAAAAACAATATGGCCAACCACACAGAATATGTGGATCCTGAAACTGCTCAAGCCTTCGCAGCAGGAGTTGAAAAACAAAGAACAGTTAGCACAAGTACCCCTTCTGTTGTAAAAAGTTTATGTTGCAGTGTTCTCTCTGAACATGATAGTGGTTTTGAAGATACAACAGCCGATTCTTGCTTCCTAACAAAGACAACCTCTAGTAGTTACAGCTACACACCAGACTCAAGTTTCCAATCAAACATTTCTACGGGTAGACTTTTCTACAGTCCAATCCTAAAAGAACGACAACAGACTAAAGTAGACAATTTTTGCGACTGGGAAATTGCAGAGGAAGAAGATGTGTATCAAAAGATTAATAATCGCGACTTTAACAATCTGCCATGTCGCAATTTGACCTTTGACACTGATTGTGAGAGTGACCCTAATTCTAGTCCAGTGAATTCTGAACTTGCTGAGAAATTTAAAAAAGTTCTCAAAGCATTTTCTCCCCCTGTGCTTGACCGATTAATTGGACGTAAAATGGGACTAGAAAAAGTAGACATAATTTTTGAACTCCACCGAAGAAATGTTTCATGTTTATCTACCATTTTAAATTATTTAAAACCAAAAGACTTGTGCAGGTGTGTAGAAATTTTGTTTCTTATCACTTCAGCTTGTTTGAAGATTTAGAATTTATGTTAGGCTAACAGTAAGACTAAGATTACTGTTTTTTTAGCAGGATTTATAGGGTAATATGGTGGTCTGACTTGTAACTGTAGATCGTATGATCTGTGATCAAGTCAACTGTCATGGTTTTATTCCCAGGCTTATAACGACAAGCAGTACATGTATGTACATTAATAGTACTTTGAATTTTTTTTTATTTAACCCCACCATCTGTGTACCGGTATACAATAATAATTCTGCTGTCATTTTCATGTTGGATACATTTGCAAGCCAGCCCATTCAGTCTGAAGATCTTTTGATGCTTAGAAGTTGGACTGAATCGTAAGTCATAACAACACAGGGACAGTCTTTATGTAAAATAGTACAACGATCTGGCTGGTTATGTCTTTAATAACAACATATAATTTGTTTTTTCAGTATGTGTGAAGTAAGTCGGAAATGGAAGAATGTGGTAGAATCTGATCCAAGATCAATATCTCGACGTAAAACTTACCTGAAAAAAAATCGTCTGAGAAATGATGCAATACTCAAGGATAAGGTACGTACATTTAACTTTGTACAAACTTACATTTCATATTTGCCTTTCAAATTATTTGATTTGTTTAAAGGGTGGGAAATAGATAAAAACATGATACATGACAAAGCATGGTCAAAACCTCCCATGTTTTATTCACAGCAACAATACACCATTCCGATTTTAGAACTAATTTGCAGTGCATGTACAGTATAATGTTAGTTTCATCTTTTCCATACATTCAGTTCAGCTTTTGAATCAAAAGTTTGCTCTTAATTATGTGACATCACAATATAATTAGAAATCAAATGCAAAATATAGTCTATTTTTCTGTATCACCAGAACTACTAATGAATTCATTTTTTTGTTCAAATCATTTGACACTCCCTTTTTCCTGTCACAGATGAACTAATGTAATAATAATCAATATCTATTTTTTTTTTCAGGAAAATTCTTTTAATTTTTCAAAGTCCCTTTTATTGGTTGATCCATCCAGAACTCCAAGTGATTTTAGTAATCAAAGATGTCTTCCAGTTCCACGAAATTCTACACCCTATTCTAATTTGTCATCCACAGAAGTATTCGCATTGGTAAGGTCAAAGTTTAAATTGAATTCAATTGAGATCAATGAACATGATAGTACTAAAAAATGCATGACCTACCAGAATTATCAGTATTATTAAATATGGGATCATTATAAACATGCAGCATCAGATAGTGGCTTTTGTGAAATTATTTTTCTTTGCAAGATAAAGAACGACTTGTCATAATGACTTCTGCCTGCGTGTTGATTCAAGGGCTGGGTATTGGGTATTGCAGTTGAAAACCGTATTGCAATATTTCTACTTGCTGTGCAATGCTTTGCAACATCTAACAATATAAGGTTATAGTTATAGCAATAAATGTAATGAAGTTTTTTTTTTTAATGCACTTTACAGTGTAACGTATTGCTAATAATGGTGTGTAACATATTGCAATATATAATGGTATATGCTTACTGTTACAGTGTAACGTACTACAATATAAAATGGTACAAGCTTATTGTTACAATTTAACATACTGCAATTTAAAATGGTATAAGCGTATTGTTACAGTGTAGTGTACTGCAATATAAAATGGTATAAGCTTACTGTTACAGTGTAATATAAAATGGTATGCATTAAGGGTGTGACAACTAAACAAAACTTGAACCGGTTAGTCGGCGGCTAAAAAACCGAACCGATTCGGTTTAGTCGGTAATGAAAACTAACTGAAAAATATTAGTCTTCCATAGTCTACAATACACGCTAATATACTGGACTTTATATACGAGCTTAAACTGTAATGGCGACATACATACAGTTCTATGTTTTATGTGTCCAGTACATTAAAAATTTGGTTTTGTTTGTACTATTACTATGTAGTTTGTTCAAATCTCCTGTTTAACCTTTTTAATAAAAGTAATAAATACAACATATAAAAAACTTCAAACAATGATGTATTGATCAATAATATTAGTGATAAACCGACGAGAAAGCGTATCTGGGCCTCAGCTCAGTGCGCATGCCTATTGACCTAACCTGGAGGATTGCTTGTTTCTGATTGGGCACTTCAACCATTGACCTTAGCGACCGACCAATCAAATAACGTATTCTTAAAATAACTTCATTAGGTATGCAATATACGGAATATAGTATATACTGTCTCGTTATTATTATTGTCGACAATTTATCAATGATGTAGCTTATTGCTTATTCGCCCCCATAATTGTCGATCGTTAATACATGTATCTTTTTTAAAAAAAAAACATGTTATAATATTCGGGCGACTGGTTTATATCATGCTGTATTTTTTAGACGACTATCGATTTCCCGAAACTTGAACCGGTTTGTAGGTAAAACCGAACCGACTCCGACTAAACCGACTAATCGTCACACCCTTAGTATGCATACATAAGCTTACTGTTACAGTGTAATATAAAATGGTATGCATTGCATACATATGCTTACTGCCACAGTGCAACATACTGCAATATGAAATGGTACAAGCTTATTGTTACAGTGTAACGTAGTGCAATGTAACAATATATTGTTACATGTACATGCCTAGTCTAGAATCAACTTTATACAATGTGCAATCAAATTCATGTCTTACCGGTACTAACTTAGTTGGACTTCAAAGTTATCAAAAATTTGAATTTATCTTTTCAGGCTGCCGATTCCCTTCGGGAAGGAGAAATGTTAAAACACTGCCCAAAATGTTTTGGTGCTTCCAGGGTTTTACCAGGTTATGATCGTGGGACTTGTTTTCGTAGCGGATGTGATTTTGACTATTGTGCTAAGTGTTTTGGTGAATATCACGGAGCTCGACCTTGCATTCCTGTGGCAGCCAAAAAACCAAAGACAGAAATCGTTGGATCAAAGAAATGCAAAAAAAGTCTGAAAAGGTTATGTGCATTATAGCGATAAAAAAAGAGATAACCCTGTCAACAGTATGATAGACTGAATCTCAATAACGATCTAAGGAGGTGGGTGTGGGCTGCCCAAGAAAAGAAGCTCCAGTCAATTATCTCCTTATGCAATACACAACTAGTCGGAAATGTGTTCCTGGTTGTTAACTTAGTGCTTGTGGTAAAATACCAAGATGGAAGCGTCAAGTTAGCCAGTCTTTCAATCCAAAGAGAACAGATGTCAAAAACAATATTCATAACAGATTTAATATATTTTTCTGTAGTTTTAGTTTTCGTAGTCAATGTTTCAATAATAATTCAAAATAGTATTTTCTATCTCTTTGGTTACACAAGTCAAGCTTATTTGTTTAATATATCAAGCACAAAACATTGATTGGCAGTATTCTCCTAACTTGTATTATATGATCAAGCCTATTTTCACCATTCCAACAGTTTTATAGCAATCTCTTGTCAGATTTCGGTCTGAGACCAATCAAATGTTGAGATTGGCTACAATTGTGATATAGTGATGATAGGTAGAATATTACTGAGGGTACATGTAACTAATGGAAATGGGGAGATGACCAAGATGGTCTACATGTATTTTGTGAACTTGTCGATAATAGCAGTTACAATCTAAAAGTATCCTTATTATTTCCTCTCTTTCTTTGTTAATTCTTTCTTTCTCATTCTTTCATATCCGCTTTCTTTCCAACCCTATTTCTGAGTTATACTGTTTGTATATTTGGAATAAATGTTCTATGTTTAAATGTCTTTAGGTCATGAAGATTGAATTCTTTTCTACCTTTCTATTTCTTGTCCTTTTATTTGCCCATATTTAATGTGGCTGTATATTTTATGTGATCATCGCCTCTTTGGTCTGTTGTCTATTTGCAATTCTTTTTTGACCATTTGACTGGTTGGCATATTAGGAGTCTGACGAGCTCTGGTTCATATTTTCTTTACTGATTTTTTTTTTTTTTTTACTCAACATAAGAATTCCATTTAAAATGGCAAAAGGAAAATATTCATTATATTATAAATTGTATGTATTACTTAAAGTTAGGGCTCTGCATGTAGCAACAACAAAAGGAAATTGGAATTTTGAATTAATGGCCAATGGTCAATTCATTACTTAGAATGCTTAACGATATGAATGGTTTTCATCACAAATAATATTTTTACCTCGAATGATTGTTTAAATAGTTTCATATTTTTGTCTCTTTATATAAATGTTTGATCTGCAATTTTTAATCTGCAATTATTCCTTTTATATGCAAGCATCCGTCCTTGTTGTAATGTACGTACAATGACAGAAATATCCTTCAAGGCATCTTGAATTTTTGAATACTCATAAATAATTATATTTTTAGTTTGAATTTCTTCTCAGGGACTGAACTTGTTGTACCCAGAAAACCTATTTTCTGTGCAATTGCTTTCTAATGTTGAAAACAGAATATGGTCTGGATTGTTAGTTTAGTTTTGTCCAGTCACAAATTGCTGTATTACTATCCAGATTCGTGTGTTCAATTACCATAACCTAGTCTACCTGCACTTGCCAATATAGTGGGTTTAATCATGTACAGCTAATCGTGGTAAACAAATATATGTTAACGTCAACCTTAACTGCTTTTCAAAATTATAGAGCAACAATTCTTAGCAGGGTTATTGTGCACTATAGTTATATATAGCCTCTGTAGGTCCACTACCATTAGTTGTACAATGTATATTGTTACTATTGGTAACAGAGACTACTGTAATAAAGACACTGCTGGATTTTTTTTTATGAATTGCCTATGCAATATTATGCTCAATATTTGTATTTAAAATATGAAACTTTCCTGACTGTTTGAATGTTAATTTGACTATAAATTGAATGATTAAGATATGAATCAAATAAATACAAACAATTCTTTATTTTAAGATGAGAATTATAACTAAATACAATTATTTTTAAGATAATAATTAAATATAACTAAAAATATTATTTTTATGATGAGAATCAAAATATAACAAATAACATTTATTATTTTGAAGGTAAGGTTATTATTATAACAAAAAAAACCCACATTATTATTAAGATAGAATATTGTAACAAAAATTATTATTTTTTAAAAAAAAAGAATATTATAACAAAAAAACAATATTATTTTTAAGAGTAGGTTGCATGTGATGTGGTTAAATATGAAAATTACGAAAAACATGTTCATGTACACAAATTCGTCAAAATAGATTTGACATGAAACTCCCATATTATGTACCATATGCAATTTTCAGCAACTTTTAACTTAAAAGACAAGGACATTACTTACAATACATTAAAATTTGACTAAAAAAATAAAATTGGAGGGGAATCAAATATTTTTAGATAGTTGTAAATAATGGATGATTTTTAATGGTGACAAAGTTGTGTTGTTATATGACAGTTTATTAAAATCATGTGGTTCGTTTAATTGCATTTATTAATTTAATCAAAGACTTCCATATCATTGTTTTTATTTTATTTACTTTTATTATATTTTAATAAAGTTATCATTCACAAAGTAGAACAAGTCGTTCTTATTGTTTTTATACGCCTATTTTGATTATGTTTTGAGATAAAGATATGACCTTTATTATTGTTTATTTCAACATAGACCCTCTATTTTATTCAATTAGAACATTTTTACATCCTGAACACGTTTTCTGGTACTGGATATTCAAAGCTACTTAGTAGATTTATTCCCCTTTGCAATCTCTCTCGAAACAGAAGTATGTTTGGTCCTTTACTTACAAAATGGAGGACCAAAATGAAAAAACATTTTCTGAAGCTGAATATTTAGAATCACACGGCCAAGAAAAGGCAGCCTTTGATAAATATTCAGATTTTATAGAGCAGACATTATCATTGGTCAAACAAGACGATGAAAATGTCAATTTGAAAATAAGGTCAGCTTTTAGCACAAAATCATAACTGACTGTAACTAAGACAAGAGAAACCCAGACTCAAATTCACAACCTAATTAAACTATATTTTATAGGCTTTCCCCAATTTTTTTTACAAGTAGTAGAAAAAGCCAAAAATTCGTAAGAAAAGAAAGACAGCTGAATGCTGTGTTCCAAATAATTTTTTTTATAAATACATGGATGGGAGTTTTTATGTAATACTAGTACCAAAATTGTATAAGGTAAATTTTAGGGTCTGTGGTTATGTGTATGCCCACAATTCAAGAAGGAGAACTTAGCCCAGACAGTTGCATTTCTTACAACACCTCTTTGAATTCAAATGGCAATGGATTTCTTTACTTGCTCGCCAATGTGTACATGGATGGGTCTCGGTTTTACATCCCATCCGAAAATCTAAACAGCACAGCAGACACCACCCCGAAAATAGTTCAAATCGTGACATTCATTTCTATTTCCAGATCCAAACTGGGACTAGCATATAATAATCGTGGATATTTACGATATTTGAAAGTGGATTTTGACGAGGCCATAGTTGATTATACGGCGGGCCTGAACTTTGATCCAAAGATGCATTTCAGTTATTACAATAGAGGATTAATACATTATAGATTAGGTAAGTTCAAATGGAGTAAATTCTGTCTACCATTTGTCATGCATCCTCTACATTATCATCCTCAGTGGTTTCATTCCGTCTTACTCTACTAGTACTATACCCTGGGTTCATCCATGGGGTATTTGGGGATTACGGTGGCTAAGTGGGTAAGACGCTGGCTCGCTAGCCTGGAGGTCGGGTGTTCGATCCCTGCATTGGACGAGAAAGTTCATCCAGATTTTCCGGCGTGGTTTCCCCTGGTCAGTGATGCAGGACAGAGGGCCTGACAAGGACAGCTGTCTTGTCGTGCGGATGGGACGAAAAACCGAGGTCCCGTGTATACATTGGCGTGCACGTAAAAGATTCCTTGGCAGTTGGAATTCGATATAAGAGTAGGCACACTGTATGGCTTATGCCCGTCTTCATTAGCCCAGTTCAGGAGCAGAACAGTAGGACGTTAAAACCAATTTCATTTCATTTCCATAGGGTATTCAAATTATTTGCCCTTGATCATAGCTTGAGTCTGCGAAGCAATCAAAAACAGTTTACAAACTGGTCATTTAATCACTGTTTACGTTCACAACAATATGCCGAGATCAACACACTATAAGGATTTTACCACACGATAAGCAGATATCAAGCTGGCGCGCTATAAAGAATTTGCTGCGTGACTGCAATGAAATCACGTGATATACACCATTTTGGATTACGCCCCACATTCCCTCCCCCCACCCAAATATCCTTATAGTGTTCCAGGTTGATCTCGGCCAACAATATGAAATCTTGTTCACTTGATTATGAGGTGACATGCACACAAAAAGATGTCCTAAACATCTTTTTGATTGGAAAGATGTTTTTTTTTTATGTCAGTTTTTATGTATTTAACTATTTTTTTGAGTGGTCAATAAAAATAGCACAAACATCAAGGGGCAGATAATTTGAATATGTGTCTTCCCCATGGATGAACCCAGGGGTTAGTGGAGTGTAACGGAATGAGGGCAAATATTTGAGGCGTGAACCACACTAACACTTGCTACTTTTTAAATATTGTATAGCCTTCAAAATAAATATGTTCACTTTTAACTGTCTGAACAATCCCAATTCACCACCCTATCTCTCTTGCGAAACTTCTACATCCATACAAACCTTCCCGAAAGTTTAGATCATCAGCTCAATATGAATTAATCTGCCCCATGACCAGAACTCGTTTTGATGAACGAGTGTTCAAGTACACAACTCCTTGTAAATGGAACAAACTGTCCTATGATGTAATCGAAATCACGTCAGTTGACTCAATGACAGACCTTATGATACAGCGTTATTAATATTGAGTCAAGTGGCAAAGAGTGGCGTCACCTGCCTCTCAATTATTTGAATCACAATGGGCACAGTAACCGATGGTGTTGCATGTGTCACTGTGACCGTTTTTGACAAGTTCGTTTCAAAATGGATAAAGAACCCTGGAGTAGCCCAAAATAGAAATGGTAACATCAAGCTGGTGACCATTGATGAAGGTGTTCAATAATTTATGACTGACTTGTAGGATATTTTTGTCTGTTTTTCAGGAAGATTTGAAGAAGCTATTACAGATATGAAGAAATGTGTTCAACTAAAGCCAGACTTTGAACCAGCGCAACAATGTTTAAAACAATCTATTATAGATAGTCATAATAAACAGAACAAAGAATCCTGATAAAGATCAACAAAAGTTCTTGTGATAAAGATCAACAAAAGTTCTTGTGATAAATAATTAACTACATACATCAGAAATAAAACCGTGATAAGCACCACAAGAAATAGGATTCGAAACATGGTAAATAGCCATATTGTGATAGACTTAATAACTTCAACATAGACTGAAACTGCTTGCCATCATAAAGATAATTATGATAAACATCAAAATATACTGTACTAAATAATTAACTAATCAGTTATAGTGATTAGTGAATACAGGAAAAAAATCCTAAGTTATTGTGTACTATTTGTAAAAGTTGATCGTAGACAGGGACAGATTAAGGGATCGGGCAACGGAGGCTCTAATCGAGTGTGGTATTGCAATGGTTAATAACCCACTCCTTGGAAACAAAAAAACAAAAAGACTAATTATGAAACAATATAGACATACAACATATTTCACACAAGTTTCTATCAAGCTTTCCGACCTGCAAAAATGTTAATGACTGCCTCAAGATCTATATCATCTACGGACAGACTTGGGGGCCCTTGTCACAGAGATTCAGCGTTTTCTTTCAGTTTTATGTTTGAAGATTATCAAAAAAAAATTGGGTCGGATGCTCACTCTTCCACCATAATCCGCTACTAATAATGGTACAAAGGATACCACCTGATTTACATTAAAATTTTATAAAAGAGTAAATCTCTGTTGATAAGTCCTTGACCAGCACTGGACCATACTTACTCATATTTTGATAATAAACAATTTATTTACAAAGTTTGTTTATTTCATGAAATATTACCACAAAATAATGTTAAATGACTTGTGAAAATGAAGAATGAAATATATACAATTAAGGCCTGACCAATTTAAATTCAACTGATCATTGCACAGTTCCTGATGTTTCTGTGAAATGATGTAAAATTAGTATTCATCAAAATCTTGTAAATTTATGCACAACTCTAGGGTTGAATGACAAGCTTGAGAATTGCATCTATTATGTTACATATTTTGAACAATGAAATTTTTAGATACATCTGAATAAAATATTTTCAGTTGTAAACTTTCTGGTATAGACTATGTCAAATTCAAGTTTAATAAACTTTTAATGCATCATTTCAAAGACAGGATTCTCAATTTGAAACCATTAACACAAAATGATGTCTTGAACACAGCTAGTCATGTAACTACATAACCATTTAAAACACTTTGTCTTTGCTGCAGTAGATGTTACAAAATCAGTTGAAGTTTTATTATTCCTAATTGATCTTCCCATTTTTAACGAGTTTTTATGAACTTGACAAAATACTGGAGAACACCTTTAAATAAAGACATATCCATATCAAGGGGCGGTCACATTTATCAAGTTAGTGATGAGTGGTACCATGACTCATTCATACATAACTTGACATCCTGGTTTAGATTATCCAGTGTCATATCCTATTTCAGTCTATATTATTATAAAATAAATATTTTATTTTCTTTCTATCACTCGATTTCACCAAGATATATCTTCTTATCACTAGAACAAGATGAAACTGAAAATAAATAAAAACAAAACTTGAAACAATGAGGAAATGATAGCAGTTGTCTGTCTCCCAATATGATCAACAGTCAAAACAATAAAACTTAAATGGCTCAGGTCCCCTTGACAAAAATCCTGTTTTATATTTAGTGCTTGAGGAAGAGTATAGTTACTCTTGTAGAGCACCTGATACCACTTCTCCACCTTTTGGGAACTTTACATATTTATCATAAGTTACCAAAGCTAGGACCCAAGTGTTTCCGTCCGTGCAAGGAAACCTCAAATGCCTAATGAAATGGTTCATAATTTCTGGGGGAAAGAGTCAACCAGGTCCAAGCTGGCTTTAGAATTGTCAGTGGCAACACCCATCCCGACTAAGCTTTTATTTTGTTCAGTATTTACTCTTGTTTAGTCTTGATAACCCAGACCAATGATTTATTAGATTCTTGCATAGACTACATTTGGTTGAGAACGAGGTACTTTAATGGAAACACAAGTTGTTAATGGAAATGTCATGAATATCTGTTAAACTTTTGTATACTTACTGATTGGTTCAAATGGATGGAAATCAACTTCGTTTACAGACCCAGCATGACCTGGTAATTTATATAAAACCCTACGTGTTGTTGTATCCCAGACATACACATATCTGTCTCCAGATCCGGCTGCTATTTTAGCACCATCTGGTGACCAGGCACAGTGCAGTAAATTCTGAAAAAACAAAGAAATTGATTTTTGGGGGGGTCTACTCACTGTATTGTCATGAGAAATATTTCTTTTATTTAAAAATAAGATTTCAGGATGCAACAGTCAACGTTATTAACCTCAAGTAGTAATAAATTATTTCAAAATTCCTAACTTGTTTTTATCAATGTTGTCATATTTTCAAGCGAAAACAAAGAAATTAAACATTCAAAATGTGAGGATACAATCTATTGCCGTGTCTGAGATTTCAAATCAAAATATTCTGCCGTTCGAAATCATTGTAATCCCGAATTAACCAGTTTAAAGATACATTATGGGAGATATATTTTATAGAGAATTCGCCATTCTTGCTATAACAGTTCAAAAGTAGATGATGAAAGAAGAATATATTGAAAATTTCTGTCAAATTACTTTATTCTGAACATAAGTTATCATCGTTGCAATATTTGACTAGAAATGGTAGTGAAATGTGCCTTCACCTTGGCCGATCGTTTGATTGACAGGCGTTAACTCCACCTACATATCTCGATTATCAAGTAAAGTTTTCAATAGCATGCGGAAACGCTCTACAGCGGCCTCGCTAAGTACACTCTATCATTTAGCCTCAATCTAACTCACGTATTCTCATCACGATGCGCCATATTTGAATTAATTAATAAGTGAAATCCTATTTAAATCCGAGCTGTAGCCGAGCCATCCGTGGGTCTACCGAGTTGATTTTGGGCTTGTTGTTTAAATAAAGATCTAATTTATAATTTCTATAACATCTGAAGCCTAAATTAAGACTTGCAATAATCCGATTTTGCTCTTGCATAATGTATGTTTAATTCACTTTAAGCCATATACAAACCTTTTCAAATGTATGTTGATGACCTTGTAATATTTTAACACATCTTTCTTGTGGGGCAAATGGTCTCACATCCCATACTCGCACTGTAATTAAAAAAATACCAGTACATACAATACAATGCAATGGTGGCAGATCTGCTGAGCTAAAACACATACTGTACATTAAACCACTCCACAATACAACCACTGTTGCAACACAAGGCAAAAATAAACAATTAAATAGGATGCTTACTTACATGTATTATCCATAGAATTAGATAGTAAATATGACCCATCTGGACTGAGTTCGAGTCCTGTAGGTGTATCTAGATGTCCACGCATTCTGTACAATATATTATTCTTACGTAGATCCCAGACCTGTAGAAATAACATTAATAGAAAAAAGTTTATAATCAACAAATCATATAAATGGAGGATATTTTAGCCTTTATTATCTGCTCACAAACAAATCTCTTGTGTAGTGGTAGGTACATGTAGCTGGAGATTTGACAGGAAATCCATGAGGTTAGAAATTTTTAAAGATATGAGAAAAAAAACATATCCTTCCTCGCGCCAAGTTCAAATTAGAACTCAAGAACTAAGAGGACTCGATTTGAATAAATACTTTAAAGAGTTAGGTAATAAATTCATGACCGTATAAATTAATTTATTAACAGATAGTAGTGTAATTAGTATAGATTCTCAATGGTTGAATATATTTTTTATCTTCTAATGATATATTTTACCTTTATATCGTTGTCAATACCAGCTGTAAATATTTGTTCTGCAGTATCATTAAAACATGTGGCTGTAACCTGATATGTATTCTGGAACGTCTGTATAACACCTTTCTTCCTCGCATCCCATAACTGTAATTATATCAAAACAGTAATACATAACAATAAAATTATATCACAATAACATTATATCATAACTGTAATTATATCAAAACAGTAATACATGTACATAACAATAAAATTATATCACAATAACATATCATAACTGTAATATATAACAATACAATTATAAAGTGTCAGATCAACTAGGGAAGCAGGCCCCTCCTATACGACAGTATAACAAATCCACTTATTATTTTCTTACTATGAAACATATACATAAGAGCTCTTTGTTGGTTAGGGTGATTTAGCTGTTATAATTGAATGTTATATTCAGGTCCAGATATGCACCACGTATCAACATGTGCACCCCAATTTTTCAAAATGTTTTATTGTTATGGGTTTTTCCATTGTGCCAAACTTTGAACAGAAATTATATACTGAACATTTAGTTTTACCTTAACTGTGCCGTCATCACTACCGCTACATAATAATTGTGGACCTCGTCTTGCTGGACTCACTGTATTAACAAATGTCTGATGACCTTTCAACTTTCGTATTCTTACACCGGCATCCACATCCCATACAGCAACTATTTTATCTGTGGATGCTGTGAATAGGTTACTGCAAAACAATTATAAAAGGTTTTCTTAATAAAAGTAAAAGTATTTTGGATTGTGTATGATCTTAAATTCTATATTCAACTTTTATTCTGGAATGTTGGGGATTTTAACTTAAAAGAGAAAATTCTCTTAAATCACTGTTTATGGTGTATAATTAGTATATATGTCCGGATTATGGTAATATTGCAAAATTTGGGGCGTTTCTGGAGGAGGCGGTATTTAGGGAGTATCATCTTCCCAGAGTCCAGCTAAAACAGTCCTACATTTCAATTCGGGGTTGTGTGTTTCCTTGACTGGTAAATACTTATCTTAGGCAGTGGAATGAAACCTTTGGGTTTAGCAAAGGTACAGGACTGCAGATGCAGGGCTGACAAGGGAAGTATGCATAGTCTCTCATATTGCATGAAAACAAACCAACAGTGAGGCTAATGTCCCCTGCCGAAATCCCCCCCCCCCCCCCCAAAAAAAAAATAGATGACACATATTGATTAATTGCACATTTATCCTTTTCAAAAGTATTGAGCAATCAATCAAACTGATTATCTATACTTAGTCTAAGCATAAAATGTTCACGATCAAACTCAGTCAAGGTTTTGAAGTTTTGTGAGAAACATCTACATCAAGTTTAAACATTCTACCTCCATTAAAAGCAGAGCTGTCATGTTCCAAAGACTTGACCAATCAAATTGCTTATTGCTACTTAGCCTAAGCAGAAAATGCTCATTATCAAACTTAGTCAAGGTATGTAATAAAACTATACACCAGGTTTCATCACTCTCACTTAATCAGAACTAAAGATATCATGTCTCAAAGCATCAATAAATCAAATTGCTTATCTCTGCTTACCCTCAGCAGATGATGCTCATCTTCGAACTCCAACAAGGCATTCACCTAATAAACACCTGCACCAGGTTTGAACATTCTAGCTCAATTAGAAGGAGAGTTATTGTGTCCCAAAAAGTGTGACAGACAGACAACCCCATTTTAATAGTCCCCTGCTTTCTTCGAAAGGCGGGATACAAAAAACGAGATTCACCCGTGCACACATGGGAGGGCACATAAAGAGCCCTTCACAATTAGAATTTAGAGAACAACTGCTATCTGAACAAAATTCTTCTCACTATGTAGCCATTGTTACATTGTTAGTCACTAAAAATAATTGAATGTTAGTCTCAAGCATTAACTAGATGTTGTGATTCAGCAGCATGAACTATATCCTTGAAGTTACAAATTTGCTTTTGACGTTTGTATATCTTATTTTTGTTTTTTAAAGTTCATATTATGGCTTGTTATTTGACATTGAGTCTTGTAAAAAATGTAATATGGCAGCAAACAGAGAGACCAGCTACAAGTTTTTATCAGGTGAACCTACTCTTTATCAGTTTTGTATAGTCACATGTAATTATTACCTGCTATCAGTAGAAAATTGTAATTCCATAATGGCACCAGCATGTCCTTTCATAACATGATAATTTTCACATTCTCCATATACATTCCAAAAATCTACAAAAATCAAATTTAAAGAGACATTGGCACATTTGATATTATTTGACTATGGGTTTGTATTCAAATTTTAAGAAAATCTGCCAAGTCACAGTAAAGAGATAGATGTTTCAACATTCAATTCAAAAGTTTTACTGGTTATCAAGGTTGCTGTTTTTATTTTCAACTTCTTGTTATGGCCCTGGTAAGAAGTTTATTTATTAATTTTTAGCATTTTTCATCCCAAAAATTCTATCGGGATTATCTCCCTTATGTAATTATTGTTATCTTTGGACCGTCTAACTCAGGACGTCAAGTGGTAGACTATCGAGACAACCACGCATTGATTCTAAGTAGAGAGAAATAGGTAGACTATATTTCTAGTCTGGTAATGTAAAATATTATGATGGGAGATATCTTGTTGAATGCACCAATAAAGGAATAATATTAGTCTAATTTGCTGCAGATATATCAGCCTTCTAAATGATATGATTGGCGTTTTTCTTTGTTTTGAAGAGTGTACGGCATATTTCCAAATAGGATAATAGATACCATTTTTCTTGAATGAGTTTACCAAACTGAACAGTAATGGGATTATAATCAGTTAAATAAAAAATCTACTTTGGTTTTGGTGCGGAAAAATAGTTTTCACTTGGATTTGAGCTTACAAATTTTTATAAGGCATCAGATCAGCAAACATTTTTGGTCTAAAAGATGATGGTAATCTATATGAAAACCAAATCAGCTAAATTTGTTGTTCAACTGACTCCCGTATAAATTTGTTGTTCAATTTACAGAGTATTTTGTACTCCGGTATAATGGCTGATGGCAGAACCAACACATTTTGATTGGCACATTATACTTCGGTAATTGTTCTGGAGGTAAAATCTATCTGGTGATGTTTGACTCTGGGTTCGGTTTCTCGTTTGAGGTGACCGGAGTTATGAAATTTTTAGCAGGTAAAGTTACTCCGAAGTTAGTGAAAGTGAAACTAGAAATATTTAAGTGGGGGTTAGCCGTCCCAGATTTCTCTCATGAAGCTACTAGTTTTGTTCTTATGCGGATGAGCTTATATAAGAACGAAAAACTAGTAGCTTCATGAGAAAAATCTGGGATGGCTACCCACCACTTATAGATTTCTAGTACAAATATCATAAACAATAATGTAATTTTAGGAAACCCTAGTAGACTTACAAATGAGTCGGTCAAACCCAGCAGAAGCTAACATCTGTCCACTAGGTGCAAATTTAGCAGTGAAGATATCCCCCTCATGGCCTGTTAACAACATTATTGGTGCGTCCAGGCTAGATGTTCTTGGGGGACCCTGAAATTATACAACAATAAAAATATTAAGTACATGTATGAATCAATTTATTATATGGGAGAAATTTGGCCCAACATTTATATTACAATTTGTAACCAAACTGTTGCAGGTTCGACTACTTTCCATAGCTTAGAATCGATTTATGCAATTACATAAATAATTGTTGATTTTCCGTCACATAGGGGGAGGAGCTATTACCTCTTTCTAATATTTAAATAGCCATGTTACCAGAGTTGTAGGCATATTTATGTAGGGCACTTTGAGTAAATCCATTTAGTAGTGTAGAAAAGAGCATATAATAATTAAAATCATAATTAAAGATCCCTCTTTTTCTTAAAATGTGCTTAAAGGAGCTAAATCGCTAATATTTGGGACCTAGAAATTCACACAAATGGGTTGCAACACATATAATAATGTAATATGAATGTATATAAACTGATTTACATTCAATGTTTCTGTTTTTACTGTAATTTCTAATCAGTTATGTTCGGCGAAAATATGCCAGAAGTCTTAATCGAATGGCAATCTCTAGCGTCTGGTTTTTCCAGTCTACACCAATATGGCGTCAATTTTTGACATGACTTATGGAATATATCTAGTCTCATTTGTCAACTAAGTTCAAGTCCTTTGTTACAAATGCCGCTAAAACGCATTATGGTGTACACGATTCAAGTACCAATGGTAAAATTTTGTCTTAAATATTGGATATCAGAAGCCCATCTTTTCCCGGTAAGATCACAACATCAATGTTGACTTAAATTGACAAAAACTTTGCATGATATTGAGTTAGATACTTAGCTACTTTAAGTTATGTGTCCATCATCCACGATTGACAATTTTTCACAATAGTACTAGTAATTATAATATAGAGCGAAGCTCTAAAGCACCGCCTATGACGCGTCTAATCACTGATGTCACATATTTTTTACGTCAATGAAAATAATTCTCACACTTTTTTTAAAAACAAAATTAATGTTAAAATTGAGATCTAAATAAAAATCAATTTTGAAAAACTAAATTATTTAACATTTTTTGTATCACTTGAGAAAATTAATTATGAAGGTTGTATATTTGACAATAATCAGCTTCACTCTACTCAGGCAATGCCTGTTAAATATTAGTAGTGTTAGCAAATAGGTGGTGCCAGTGCAATTTCATACACTAAAAAAGACCCAAGTTCAGAAAATATCAGATTGCCGGTACAGTATAAATGGGTCATCTCCAGCTTTTCCACTGGAAAGAGACCTAGCATTGCAGGGTATAAATATTTGTCAAAATTTAACTGGAAACAGTTTTTTCCTGTTTTGTTTGCTTTGGGACTTGTTTTCACATTTTGATTTTGTTATAAAATAAAAATTACCATTTGCATTTGAACGAGTTGATTATTTCCATTTGAGCTTAGAACCAAATCAGTTTTTGCCCTCTTTGCTGGCACAATGGCCCCTTCCATAGCTCTTCTCTTCAAATCCATAGTTTTTGTATTCAAATAATATAATTATTTGAACAAATTTAATAGATTGTAATTTGTAAACAACACACGCTTTTAGAATCGTAACCGGAAATAGCCGGCTTGATTGAGTTATCTCCCCCAAGTTAAGCCTCTTTTTCGTTTTCATGGCCGCCGCCATTTCCTGAATTTTGCTGCAAGTTATCATTAAAAAAAAGGAGCAAATACTTCTGTTAGTAATTCATTACAGTTAACCGATCGCAAATATTTTAGAAATGCAATCGAAGTACTATAGATTGCAGGAGAAATTAACGCCTGAAAGTGCGTGATTTGCAAGATAATTGCAAGCAAGTAGCTATCTACCGGCTTTTGTTTGTTCATTTGACAATTTGTGTTGTGCCAATTAATTATTTAGGGCCGATGGCTATAGCCTAGTACTTAGTAGTACTACTAGAGCTAGAATCTTTCTTTACAATATAACTATATATAAGTATAACAGTTTTGTTTTGTGTTTTTAAAACATAATGCAGTCAGTTACCACACGTTTGGTTGTAAGTTATTTATTATATGACAAGTTTACTCACCGCAAACAGAAATAAATCAAAACCACTTTGAGTACGAAATATTTGCTAGTCTACATGTACATTTTCTTCCATTATCTTTGTCGAGATTCAGTCTGTAATTATTATTCTTTCATGCACACGACATGTGATTACAGGATGGGGTCATATACGGCCATAAACCAAAACGGCCAAAATTCTTTTGGTCAAAAACAAAAGGCCAAAATTTACGAAACATTTACTTTTCTTTCATAAAAATATTAATTAAAATATGGATCAAAATCATTTTATAAAAATGTGAAATAAAATCATTTAATAAAAATATGAGTTAGAATCATTTAATAAAAATATCAGTTAGAATCATTTGATTAAAATAACATTATTCTCAATATCATTTTAATTAATCAACACAATAAATTAATTAAAAGGCCATTTGCATTGCCAACCCGAAAAATTGCATTCTATACTTTAAAGGAAAGAATAGGTAGTTAATCAGCTGATTGGTTAACTAAGTAATTCACACTCTTCTAAGCTATTACTCATTACGTAACATGAAGCAGCCTGGACGTTAAGACACCTGTCACAGATTTTGTCACACACAAATTATCACAATGTTTTATAATACATACTTGTGTTATTATTTTTATCTGACAATGTCTGTGACAGGTGCCTGGTTTCCAGGTAGTATGTACTTGATAACATCTATGAGAGGTAACTTATGTCCAGGCTTGAACATGACCGTAAAGAACATGGTATTGAATCAGAATGATAAAGTCTCACTGCACAGACTGTAGAAAAATATAGTCAGGTAACTCTCAAATAGGTGAGTGTATTGCGTATGAATGATCATAATGTATTGTTTTCTAATCTGTACTTTTTCAGTAATTCAACACGTTGTTTAGTAGTGTAACTGTGCAAGTGAAAATATCAAAATATGGGGGACAGTGAAGATGAATATGATAGAAGAAAAAATCCACGAGATAAATTTCGTAGAGAGAGAAATGATTACGACAGACGTGAAGAAAGAAGAAGAGATTCATGGGATCATGATAGGTTGGTATTAGGTTAATAAAATGGTAGTTTTGATTTTAATGTTTAGAAAAATGTATTGTTTTATTTTGATTAGATATTTTTGACTATACCATTAAAGTCAAATCTCATTGCCATATGTATTCCGATGCAATTTTTATGCAACCACATAACCTTAGGGTCACCATGCAGACTAAAAGGATATTTGAATGAATTTTTAAAATTTATTTATCTTATCACTTGAAAGATATTAATCCTAGTATACACAAGAATTCAGAGAGGCCAGCGATGCATTAAATGGCATGTAACAGGATTGAACTAAATGTCACTTGATTGCTATTGTGTCAATTCAGTATGTTTTAGACTTACAATAATCAAGCATCCCCTAAGAATTTAAAGAAGTGTGAATCGTTATAAATCCCATCTTATCTTAACTTTAGTTAATTTTGCAATTGTTAATTATTTCTACTGATTACTAAGGTGTTAAAAACTTTTTTTTATATGCCACAATTTCATATTTGGCTAAATCATACATATTACACCTCAATATTATTATTTTATTTTTTTAGTCGTCGACCAACAAGATCTCGGGACTGGAGTAGTAGAAGTCGTGAGAGGCACGAAGGATCATACAGAGATTATGATTCTAGAAGACATGATAGATTCAGTCCACAGAGAAACGACATGAGTCCACCGCAAGCCAAAAGAATGAGAAGAGATTGGTAGTCTTTCTATCTTTGTTTGCGAAAGGGGAGAGGGTTGAGGTAGTCCAGTTGATAGAGCACTGACACTCAACTGGTGTAGGCCAAGAAGAACCTATTCTAACATGTCATGGGTAGGGACAGCAGGGCTGACAAGGACAGTCATTTGCATGACATGAACAATTAAGCGTATCAAAATGTTACTACAATAGTTTTAATTTGAAGAAGAGTAGTCAGAAACACCACTGCCCATGCAGAATTGTCCACCCTTGTGTATAGCACAAACTTACACATTCAGTTAAATCAGAAAAAAACAATGAGCTGCATGTCAGTGTGAGTGATCAAACACATACAATTTGGCTAATAGTAATATATTAATTTCCATATAACAATCGTAACCAAGGTTTTTGTTTTATTTTCTCACGATTCAACAGGGACGATAGTTACCAGCCATACGATCTGCCATATAATGGTCCAGCACCACCACCTAATCATTGGGGCGGTGGTGGGCCAAGTCCTGGTGAAATGGGTGGAGGGGGTATGGGTCATGGCCACGGCCAATATGGTGGACACCAATCTAGGTGAGATAACATTAACTCTATTAAGATAATGATATGAGTAAAACAGTCCTGGCTTGACTTTTTTTGTCTGTGACATTATCATCATGTGATGTTATTACCATGTAGTCATGTACTGGTAATGACGTGATTATATATCTCACATCAATGGCGAAAGGCATGATTGATAAAAATGAGTCAAACCTCATTAAATGGTCAAATAAACACCCAAATAAACATTCCATATGATAAATGTGTCATTTTGTCAGTTATTAAGTTATTAATTTATTTCAAGCCATATCTTTGTTGCCATGGGCCAATCGCTAAATTGTTTGCCATAAAGCTTTACTTGCTTTACAGTCTTTTAAGCTTTTTCAATCTTTTACACAGGATTGTAACTTAAAGCAATGCTTATTATCTTTAAAACCTAGGTTGTTATAGTTTTCATTGATATGAACCGAAGTCAGTATTCTTATGGAGGTATGGGTTATTACCTTGTGCGCTTGTGAAATTGATGTTTGGATAACCTTGTTTTTGTAGAGATGTAGACTATCCTACCCAGCCAGCTATGATGACATTCAAGCAGTTTTTATCCCAACAGGATGATAATATCGACGACCAGTTGGCCATTAAAAAATATAATGAGTACAAGATTGAATACAAACGTCAACAGATTAGTGAATTCTTCTTGCAGCACAAGGAAGAGGAATGGTACGCAAACTTAAAACTTTAACCATTTACATATTATGTAGTAAAACATACAAAATTTTGATTTATTATATTCACAGATTTTTCAAGTTTTTTGGGATTAGTCTAAAGAGCCATGATAGTTGCTGGCACAAACCTTGAAATTAAAGGATCAATCTGTGGGATTGTGATTAATTGGTTTATCACATGTGCTGTAGATACTATGACCTGTCATCTATGCATAGCAATGGATTCAATCCCAGATTTTTATGTGATCAAGAGAACAGCCAACTGCCTTTGGGTTTTCTTGTGGACACTGCAGTTTCCTCCCACTTCTAAAGACCCCTGCATGCAAGCAAAATACTGTATATAAGTCTAAAGATGGCCTTTGGTTTCTATAATGGTTTTAACTGTTCAATTTTTCTCATGATAGCAGCAATAGTGATTGCTTTGCTCAGGGCTGGGGAGTTGGTTTGGCTCAAATGTGGATGACCATTTGTTAGAAAAAAAAATACACATGCTTCAAATATTTAAAGCACTTGTATTCCATTATTAGCATTATTTAGAGATGTTGCCATTCAAAGCCCACAACAGATATTGCTACTCGTTTACTTGTTCTTAGTATAGTAAATATTGAGAACATATTCAAAGTTTTTGGCTAACATGTCTATTTCATTTTAGATTGAAAGGAACCCCTCAAAAATTACATCACTTTGAATTTAATTTGAATTTCATAGAAACTATGAATTGAAATTTATACTTCTAAAAGATAATGTTAACTGTTGTTTAAAATGTAACCTCATTTTTGTCCTTATTGGATAACTTTTCAGCATTTACAGCCGATCACCAGCTTGGATTTATTTACTGCGCTTCTTCTTTTAGTTAGGCCACTGCGCACAATGCAGTGTTGTGTTATTATAAAGTGTTAGGTCAATTTCTGTTAGGGTTTTCGGGTCGATAAAACACAATGGAAATGGTTGGGCCTGCATCATAAAGCAGGTCGAGGAAAACAGGTAACAATAAAGTGATCTGCGTATTTTGGTATTTCTTTTTTTTTTATGAAAAAAAAACCTCCTCTATTTCAATGAATTTAGAAATAACTTTTAACTGCTCAGATTTGATTGATATCTTTGAGTCCTTATTGAGTCCTAGGCATGCATGGACTGGACTGATTTTACAGGAGAACAAAATATTTGATTCCTGTCAAGATGAAGTGATTGTATTATAGAAATTTGTGATCCAAAAATTCCAACCGGGAGTCCAAAATGCCACAAAATATTTATGTATTCAAGAAAAATATATATTTTTATCCCAAGATAATTTTGTAAATGACCCTGATAAGAAAGTGTTGTAGGAAGGTCATTAGTGCTTTAAATGAAACCTATGGTCAATTGCATTAAAGGGACAACAAGCCAGAATGAAGTCAAATGTAGAGTTTGTGTCAAATGTAAACTTTTTCAAATGTATGGTATAATTAAGGCAGTAGAATTTTGATTGGTAAAGTGGAATTATGTAAGATTTAGATAAAAAGCTAACAGTTCTCGCTATAATAGTTAAAAAATAGATAATGAAAAGGGAATATGTTGAACATCTCAGTCAAATATATACTTCATTTTGAGCTGAGTAATCACCGTTGGAAGAACAGTGTAGTCTCAATTGTCATTGCTACCGGTGTTAAAATAATAAACAAAGTTTTTAAATCATTAGCTGTCAATCGTATTTAAATCTGTTGAAAATCTTGAACATCCGATGGCATGGAGAGTTGATTATGATCTTGGCAAATTAATAAATGTCTGATTATTAATTTATATAACATTTAAGGCATAAAAAAAGACCTGCAATAGGCAGATTTAGCTCTTGAATAATACCTCTTCAATCAATAGATGTTTTGAGCTGGTACCCCAACACCAACACTTACAAAGGTCGCCCAACTTTAAAATAAATAAAAAAGGACAATTTTTGTGTTTTAAGTCAATAAATTTATAAAAATGAAAGAAGAATATTGTATAAATTTTATGTTGTCTGTCATGAAACCAATAAAATTACTAATCAAATCAGTATTTTTATTACCAGCCAATATGTTATTAGTAAATTTTAAAGCTTGGCAGAAACACTGTATTTTAAACTCTACATCTAGCTTTCATTCTGGCATGTTGGAGCTTTAATTTCTGGTTTTGTGGTAAAAGGAACCAGACTAATTATAAAAATTGCTATTAATCATATCAGTCTCCTAAATTTTACATTTTTATTTTAACCTTTTTAAAAAACAACCATCCTTAATGATTATTTGTGATTTTAATCATTTTTATATTTTTTTCTATCCTGTAAATTACAATAGGTTCAAACTGAAATATCACCCAGAAGAAAGTGGAAAGAGAAAGGCAGAGTTAAAGTTTGCGTTAGAGAAAAGATTACAGGTGTTTAACGAATTATTAGAGTCAGGAAGAGTTGGACCCATCGTCCTCGAGATCGATCGTGCTGAGGAAATCATTAAACTTCTAGATGCAGGTAAATTAACTTGATTTAGGTCAAAATATACTATTGAATTGGATTCATCTAATGTGGCATTTCTGTATGTTTATTTACTGATATTAATAGTTTCAATTTTGGCTAAACACATGACTGATTAACACACAATTGGTTATATCTGAAGACTGGCTTTATCTACAAATTTTGAAGAAATTTAGAAACCATGCCAGAAAATTCTGATTAACTTTCTCAGCCAGTGAGCCAGCGTCTTATTCACTGAGCCACCATTGCTCTAAAGGAATTTAGGTTGTCATCTCCTAAACAAAGAACATCAATCAACACTAAAAAAATTACTCAAATCAACAATTTGATTTTTGACCAAATATATATGACATGTATATGACAACATTTCTCTCAGCTATGAGGTCAATGACAAGTGGTATTCAATCCTTTCTGTTTATTTTAGCGGTTATAAAGATGGAAGGAGGAACAGATTTTGATCTGACGGTACTGGATATTGTAGAGGAAAAAGAAAGTTCTAGAAGTAGAAATAATTCAGAGACTGTCGCAGATAAAACAAGGTATAACATATCTCCATATTTGATTTTATGGAGAGAAATAAAACAGTAATTAGCAAGCTAGATCTGTTATATGTTCAGTCAAGCTGTGTGTTAAATATCAATGTCCTTGATTAAGACACGATATCCCTGTATTCCAGTCTAACCAGCTGGTCATGATTACTACAGCTATGACTGTATTTACTTGGTTTCAAGTTCTATCTTCCCTCTAACATTGTGTCATGTGACCCCAATGAAGACCCTTTATTATCTCTGTATTCCAGTCTACGAGTACTAGACCCATTTATTGGATAATTTCTTTATTTTTTTAGTCCAAATTCAAAGAAAGAAACAGATGAAGACAAAGATAAAGAGGTGAATTTATTATTATATGTCCACATTTTATTTGGGAGTACAGTAGGACGTTAAACCCCATTTCATTTCATTTATTTGGGAGTATATCTTCCTCAGCCCTGTCTGTCCTTCTGTCCATCCACAATTCTACAGGTCCAGAATTTACAGCATATTTATCTTTAAAAAGAACAATGTTTTTATTTTCCCTTTGCTCTAGGCCAAAAATCTTATTAGAAATCCATCAAATTTGCTGTTTTTTGGAAGTGCAAGGTCAATGAAAATTTTTCAAAAATTGTCTTTAAAGTAAGCTGGAAAATCTGTGACAGCTGAAACATATTTGCTGTGTTTACATATGTCATGATTCTACTCACACCACCTGTAGCACCATGAGTCTTCTGTCTGACGTGGAGAGCGTCTATGGGAAACCGGTCGCCACATCCTACATACAACCCATGCATCTTTTCTTACTACATATTTCTGTAGCCTTGTGATCGTCTAGAATTTGTCTCTAGCTGTCTTTACTTCTGCTTCACGTTGTGTATTTACTTCTCACAGTTTCTTAAGACGTCTGTCTTACCAGGAATAATAATGCATAGTTCGCTTCTACATTTTATATAGCATATAACTGAATACATGTATACAAGCATAGCACAAATTACAATACTATATAGCTAAAACCACTTCTCCACCCTATCCAGCCTCTCGGCTGTCTAGGAACTCAGATGTACCCTTGATCTCTGGAATCTAATGCAAGTCTGACTTACAGGGTTCCCCGGTTTCTTTTAAAGGTATATAAATATCATGCACCATAAAGCGTGATCATGGCCCTGAACTTGTGTAATTAACAAAATGATTGGTTACTTTAGATCAAATGATGCAATTAGAATAATTCCACTCACGTGTAATTCTGGGGGTAAATGAGTGACATATGTTTTCGATAAATCGCTCTTTTTTATGTGTCAACTATCAATTATAGACTAAGTTGATTTAAGTATTTTAAGTACATATCACATATTATGCGAATATGTTATTTCTCGAGCAAAAATTCTACTAAAAGTATTACACACCTCCATTGTGGGGACTGACAGAACTGTGACATGACTTAATTCTGCGTCACCCGATTGCAATTCTCTCAATTCAAAACGTTTAGGACTGGCAATCAAGCAGATGTTAAACCCTGTTCCTTTCTATTGCAGAAACCCATGAAGATGGCAATTACACCAGAACAAGAGGAATTACAGAAAAAAGCTCAAGAATTCTCAAAACAACAGGAAGAGATGGCCAAAAAACAAAAGGTACTATAATTAGTGATCATAATCTAAATTGGAGCATGATCTATAATCTATTCTTGTACAATAGAATTGATTTGTCAAAATAATGACCAACAAAAAAGATTGTAATATGTGTGAGAAAAATTAGATATTGACATTTGAGTGTCCACACAAATATCTGAATTTTTCGGTATTCTATATTTCTGGTAACAGTTTAAACTATTTGTTGTTTTTTTTTTTGTCACCAACATCAAATATTTAATAATATTAATTCAATGCAATCATCTGATTTTAAACTTTCACAATCACCAAAAATTGTAGTGATTTTAAAATTTCACAATCCCAAAAAATTGTAGTGAGTTTAAAATTTCACAGTCCCTAAAAATAAAAGAGAACTCAAGAAGTGATTCAAAAAATTTATCATTTACATTGTATCAAATGAATCAGCATTCGATACAAACGCTAAGAAATTATTAAAACCACACTTGTCAGTTTTTATCTAATAGCTGCAAGTTGTTGCAGCTGTCTTGCCTGATACAGAAGTTCACTATTGTTGATATATGTTTAGGAGGAGGAGAAGACGAAGAAAAGATCAAAGAGACATCGTGATAAACCAGACTATAGTTTTGACAGTGCTACAGAATCAGAATCCGCTTCTGGATCTGACTCAGAACCTGAACCAGCTCCACCTGGTGAGTAAAACTATTAACATGTTGATCCATTGACTCCACGATTCATATTCTATTTTAGTCATTATTGACCTAGTTAATGAATGTGTTAGTTGCCAATGACTTGCAGTAGCAATTGAGGCTTGCCTGATGTCAATAATCAAAATCAACCATCGGTTTTTCTATGTAAATTACTAGTCCGGCAGACACCATACTGGTTGGAAAACCCTGAAGGTTTTGATCAGTCAGGGAGTCACGGTGGCTAGATGGTTAAGATGCTGGCTCGCTAGCCTGGAGGTCGGGTGTTCGATCCCTGCATTGGCCGAGAAAGTTCATCTGGATTTTCCGAAGTGGTTTCCCCTTGTCAGGGGTACAGAACTGAGGGCCTGACAAGGACAGCTGTCTAGTCCTTCGGATAAGACGAAAAACCGAGGTCCCATGTATACATTGGAATGCACGTAAAAGATCCCTTGGCAGTTGGAATTCGATATAAGAGTAGGCGATAGTGCCGCTGCCCGGGCAAAATTTCCCTCATAGCACACTGTATGGCGTATGCCCGTCTTCATTAGCCCAGTATAGGAGCAGAACAGTAGGATGTTAAACCCCATTTCATTTCATTTCATTTTATTTTGATCAGTCAACATTGTGGTTCAAATCCAAAATATTATTATTATACGTAACTTCTATGCCTATCCCTGTATGTTTTTAACTTCTGTATTTTGTAGGTGTGGATGAAAATCAAGAAAAGGCCACGCCAATTGTTACTTCTCCTGACGCAGACAATAAAACTGAGAAAGAAGATAATCCTGAAGGTAAGTGAAATTACCATTATTGAGGCATGAAGAATAAATGTAAAAATTTGTGCGTCATTGACGAAATTGTGACAATTTTGATTGGGAGAAGGTTGCCTACTCTTCCTCCAATAGCAACAGCCATGTGTACACAGGTGAACCTCTGGGTTGTTTTTTTTCACACAAACCAGATGACCAGGTATACTCTGGACACATGAGATTAGGGCTTCAAAATCGTGAGTATTCTTGGTATCCAAACCAAGATCACTCTTGAATAGGTGTTAAAAGTGAAATTTAAATTATTTCAGGTGAGGAAAAAGAAGTAGATACAAAAGAGGAAGCTGAAGAAGAGAAGGATCCAAAACCGAGAGCTCTACATAAAACACAGTCTATATTTTTACGTAATCTTGCCCCTACTATAACTAAACAGGAAATAGAAGCTGTAAGTATCTGGCTGCTTGTTTAAACTGATGCTACTTCAGGCTGTAGATAATTGTGTTCAGAGTTACTGCCCTTATTAACTTTTAGAATAAGAAAGCAAACAAAATTTTCACCTGATTGACGTTAGTGCCAGGAAGAAGCCTATCAAATACTAATGCTCTCTGATAATTTCTTCGTATGGGTGTTGCATGTGATCACTTTTTAGTATCTTATAATGCTCTTTTATCATCCTAAAATAAGTAGAAGACAGCAGCTATTATAGACTGCTCAGACGACTTACATGTAGCTGTCTTGGGTATATGTTCGTTCTCCTGCAACTTACATTTGTATGTTTATTATAGATGTGCAAGCGTTTTCCTGGTTTTACCCGAGTTGCATTACAAGATCCACAACCAGAACGTAGATTTTTCAGACGAGGCTGGGTAACCTTTGAATCAGGGGTCAACATTAAAGAGATCTGTTACAGTCTCAACAATATACGAGTGAGTAAAACTACAGACTTTGATAAACAAACAACCAAGAAAATAATTTACACTTGAATATAAGTGATTTAGTTAGACCGGGTAAAAAAAAAAATAATTTTGTATTGGATTGATTTGTTATTTTGATCTGTGAATGTTCAAACTATGTATATTTAATTACATTATAAATCAAGCAAAATTCAAGTCAGTCTACACTTTATTTTATAAGTTGTTTTTTTATTATTTCTCTCTGATATGTCAACACAAGCCTTATTGGATGAGCTACTATTTTAGGGCCTGTTTATAAGAAAATCCAGTATGTATATATTGATAAAAAAAAATACCTGTGATGACTTAATCCTCTCATCCTATCTCATAGACTATCGTGTTCAAATTGAATGCTAATTTTTCTGTTCAGTTTTAGAAAATGTTAAACATTTATTTTATAGTTACGAGATTGCGAACTTGGAGCCACTTTAAATCGAGATTTGAAGCAAAGAGTTCGACCTGTTACTGTTTTAACCAATCATAAAGCAGTTGTAAGAAAGGACATCCAGACAGCTGCTAAAATTATCCAGAATTTGGATCATAAATGGAATTTATGGCCGGATCCAAATGCGGAAAAGAAAGATGATGAGAAAGAGGTTAGGTCTATTCCTTTTAGAATTACATGGGTGGAAAGGAACACCACTGTTTATAGACCCCATATAAGGCTCCCCCAAACCAATGTTTATAATTCATTTTTTTTGTGTTTAAGACATATAAACTATTGAAGACATAATATTATAGACAAAAACTTTTAGTAAAAGAAAAACATAGACTTTTGGAAAATACCAAAACTTACAGTTCACAAAATTATCCTTGAGATAGAATTTAATCCTTTGTTTATGTTCAGGTTGAGATGAATTTAATCCTTTGTTTATGTTCAGGTTGAGATAAATCCTTTGTTTATGTTTAGGTTGAGATGAATTTTATCCTTTGTTTATGTTCAGATTGAGATGAATTTAATCCTTTGTTTATGTTTAGGTTGAGATGAATTTAATGTTATCACGGAATCCTGTATTAAAAAATATAACCGATTATTTAGTTGAAGAAGGATCATATGAAGAAGAAGAATTATTAGGTTGGTTGGTTTATTTTTTAAAACGACATTCTCACTTGTGGATGCTAGACCTATAAGAACTGACAAGGATGGGGCAGGGTTATGGTGGCCCGGTGGTTACACCACTGGATTCCATCAAGAATATACCTGGTTCGAATCCTGTTGTAGGTCAAGAAGAACCTTCAGAATTTTTCAAGCACAGTTTCACTTGTCATGGGTCATGTCTATGGGGCTGATATGGAAAGTATGTCTAGTCGATCAGATTGAACAAAAAAAAAATTACTGGTTGTAGGGTTTGACTTTGAAATTTATGATCAAAACATCCACTTCGGTCATGGATTGAGCAAGTTGTCTCAAAATTTGCATACAGTCTATTTTGAACACACCCAAAATGAATAAACAAATCACAAGAAATCAACACCAAAAATACTTGGAAACTGGCAAAATCTCCCAAAGTGCTGATGTCTCTTTAGAAGTTGAAAGATTTTGATTTTTTATTTGTACAGGTCAGAATACAGAAGAAGGACCTAAAGAAGCCAATCCTGAGATTCAGATTGATAAAGATGAAAATCTCATAAAGGTATTGACAGGGAAAAGTCATACTGTAACAATTTAATATATTAAAAAATTAAATATATAATGAATACTTTAGGCCAGGATATTAATGTATTGTGTTATTAATGTGCTACCTGTTCTAGACTATATTTAATCAAGGGAAACAGTGCCGTCTGTTATCATATTGAAGGGAGCCATGGTGGCTCAGTGAGTAAGACAATCGCTCGCTAACCTGGAGATTCAGTGTTCATCCAAAAAATTTCATCAATTCAAGTATTATGTATTGGATCCCATGCTTGTCATGATTTCTATCTTCCTTCCACTGTTAAACACCCCTCTACAGTACAATTTATTAAATAAAGACATGTTAGTTTCAAAGTGACCTGGTTATTGTTGAGACAGTATGAAATATCATTACAATTTGTGATAACAGAAGTACTTACATAGAGATTAAAAGATATTGCATGGTTTTTTTTCAGGCATTGGATAAGATGATTTTATATCTGCGTATTGTACATTCAATAGATTTTTATAGTGCTAATGAGTATCCTAATGAGGATGAGATGCCCCACAGATGTGGTATAATGCATGGACGACTGTCTATACCAGTTGGTAAATGTACTGAGCAAGATGGTTAGTATTTATATCAGCGAGGGATTGTAGAAAAAAAGTTTTTTTATGGGTTTTTTTTGGACACTGCATTCAATTTGACCTCGAGTTTTCTGGCAGCCATCTTGTTTAATAGTTTCTCAGGGTCTTGGTAAATTTTCTGTTGGTGGCCATTATTTGTTTAGTATTCCCAATAAAAGACTTTCATTTGATTAAACTGTAAAAATACATTGGTATATATAGCCATTTTCTCAAAACCCACTCCTTGTACAGTAGAGAACAACTAGAATGTTATTGACATGTTTGTTCTTGGTGATTACAACTTAATGTCTGGTGTTCACAACTCTGTTCTAGATGTTCACAAGACTTCTTTAATTCTTAAAATTAGAATGTTCTCAGTGGTGAAGTTTGAAAGATGACATCAATTAATTTAACTTTTGTTGTTTTTTTTCCAGTAACTGATTGGATCAGTCATTTTGAATCTAAAACAGAATATTTGGTTAAAGTAAATACCAAGGTGAATGATGAAGAGGCTCAGAAATTAGGAAAGAAAGATCCTAATGCATATCCTTTATACACAGTTTTTCCAAATCACTATAATTTACTTGATAATCAGGCATACTTTTACTTAAAGGTGATAAGGGGGTGAGTGTCTTAAGTTTGAAAGCGGGCTTGGTAGTCAAGGAAACTTGAGTATAGTCATTCAGATAGGGCAAAACAGCATGCAGATACACAGAGGTATGCACCTAATATGTAAAAAAGAGAGAGAGAAATGGGGTTTAACATCCACTCGACACAAACTAGGTCATTTTGGGACAAACATATGGTTTAATTTTATTTCAAAAATTCACTTGCGCGTAGGGGTCTTTAGCAGTGGGAGGGATACCGGAGGACCCGGTGAAAACCCATGAGATTGGACAGGCGACCCTTGTCACCATTCGGCCACCCAACCCCCAAGTATGTAAAAGAACATGTTTAATCTTAAATTAACCAGCTTGTTACCAAAAGATCAAACCCTCTTTCAATCATTTCTCTAATTTTTTAGATCATCGATTGCAATTCTCTCCCATTCAGAACAATCCAGGATCATAAGAGTATTTGTTTTGATAAATGTGTATTTCTCCTTAACATGTGTACAGAAGTAGAGAAGTTTATCCAGTCCAACTGTCAAGAGTTGAGTAAAGATAAATGGCTGTGTCCGCTGAGTGGAAAGAAGTTTAAAGGGCCTGAATTTATACGTAAACATATCCTGACCAAACATAATGAAAAGGTTGAAGAGGTCAAACAAGAGGTGAGATTATTCAATAGATACAAGGTCATGATGAAACTTATCTGGTCTTTTCTGAGATGGTTGGTAAAGCGTAAATGACTGAAAGGAAAGTTTGCAATGTGCTCCAGGGATACACATTGTGTTTCAAAAGAACCCCAGACAGTTGTCGAATTGTGCTTACTACCTTGCTTTACTGTATTGCTTGCTTGTCCTGTCTGGGTTCAGTTGTACAGTTCTCCTGCATTGTCATTAAAGTGAAGGGTGGGGGTTGGGTGGTCGAATGGTTAACACATGCGCCTTGGATCAGAAGATCTGTCATTGAGTCAAGTGACGTGGTTTCGATTACCCATTTGTACGTGACAAGAAGTAAGGTCATGGATTTTCTCCAGGTTCCCCAGTTTCCTCCCACTACTAAAAGCCCCCTTCATGCTAGTTAATTATTGAAATAAAATTTAACCATAAGTTAGTTCCGAAATGACAGTTTGTGTCATGTGGATGTTAAATCCCATTTCTCTCTCTATCTCTGCTTCCATCCTATAACGTACCATAAAAATATTCTGGCTTAAAATAGAATTAACTTAGAGGTAAGACAAAGTGAGGGCTTTTTTTAACAAAAATTCCTCCAAGTGCTGCCCAATCAAATGATATAATTTAAAGGTTTATTTTATCTTTTTAATTCGCATTTTAATTTCTCCGTAGGTTTCTTTCTTCAATAACTATCTAATGGACCCTAAACGTCCCCAGTTACCAGAACATCCAGGTAGCAAGTCGTCCAGTGGTAACCGTGGTGATAACCAATCAGTATATCAACATCATCAACCAGGCATGATGGGAGGTTATAATCAACCTCGACATATGATGTATGGGGGTAAGTGAATAATGCTGATTTTGTTGAAGAACTACCTATACTTTATTTTGTTATTATGCAGAATAGAAAATTGTATTGAAATAAATGTGACCGGTGATTGTTCATGTTTATATGATTAATTTCTTGGTTTTATAAGTCCACATTTCATGTTGGAGTCTGATTGTGTCAAACAGTTCCCAATATACTGTCGATACATATGCAATTACCGATATGAATACAGATATAATGACTAATATACTGCCAATATAGATATGATGACCGATATATTGCCAATACAGATCTTATTATCAATATACTGTCCAATTAACCAGACATCTCTCTCCTGTTTCAGGTGGTGGCCCTCCAAGTCATTATGGATCACAGCAATATGGTGGTGGGGGTAGAGATGGTCGTCATGACAACTATAATAATAGGAGGAGTGGTGGATATAGCAATAACAGACCATACAGGTAATGGAATGGAGTTTAATGCAGACCTGGAATTAACGGTCGGGTGTGGTAACATGGTTACAGGTTACCACAAAATACCGGATGGTAACCTAACAAGTTACCACACAGGTTGCCTGAAAATGATTTATTGTAACCCATCAATGAAGTTTTCTAGTGCATGTATTGTATTATTAATGAGAACGTCTATAGTGACCTATAGGAATTGAGGAGTAAAAGATCAGAATTTAATAAAATTGAGAAATGACGTCTTTATTTCTTTAATTTGTTGAAATTTATATTTATATAATATGAACATAACTTTGTAACACAAACAGAATATGAATCAATTCTTTCACCCACGTGACGTATGTAGTTAACCCTGTCAACATATAAATACCGGGCGGTTCGCAAGCAACGAATCAAATCCTCAAGCCATCATCTTGCTTTATGTTTTATTTCAGTGTTGTACGTACTACATATCAGTTTTGTCAGTTTATTGTCATTGTCCACCTCATCATAATGATGTCTCCGTGACAAACGTCTTTAATTTTAATGCAATGTTTCACGGTTCTGGTTTCATTGTGGGGGATGTCATTTTTAAAACGAACGAAAATGAGGCTGTGCAGTTGACAAATGAGTAAAATTGTGTCATCGAGTATCACGTGATCGGAATACCCCTTTATTCGCTGGGGAAATCTGTCCTGCTGTCTGCCTTGTCATATGAAAAAACAGGCCGATTTACACAGGAACAAAGGGTTGTTCGCCCGTTTTCTAAGCATGACGATCTCCCGGTAACCCAAACGACCGTTCGCCACTTATTACCAACCATGTTAATGTCTCGTAAACACACTACTTCAATAATTTTGAGACTACCACATTGTGATTTTTATTTCTGTAGTTAGGTGTATAATATGATTTAGGATAATTTTAACTGGACAGCTCTTTTTCTGCCTACTCTTATTGATTTCAAACTGTCAATGATATCTTTGACGAATGAAAGTTTATTCTCAGTCCATGTGGGTATTAAAACCGTGACATTCTTGTGGAGAGGCCATTGCCTTACCACTTGAAAACTGGATACTGCAGCCCCCACCCCCACCCCTACCCCAATAATAAACATAAAAGTACCAACTATTTGACTTGGACAAACCAAAATATCACTTGAGTTAAATATGATGAGTTGATTTACTTTATACTGTGGTTATTTAAATAAAGGTAAATTTTGATGTTAAAATATAATTGATTTCTTTGATCAGTGTTTTCTTATACTTTGTTTATTGATGATTTTGTTTTTGTCTTTCAGTCGGCGATCAGATCCGCGATCCATCATTGAATATCGTGATCTAGATGCACCAGATGATGGTGATATTTTTTAACCATTGAGAACAAGTGTAACATATAACCTATTGTATATAATCATGTATCATTTTTATACACTCACACTGAAATGTGGTCATGTATTGTCCTCAACCTCATCTGTCCGTCCATCATCCACAATTACATGAAATGTATACACATTGTCTTAGTTCTTAAGGCGAAGAAGCCTATTGATCTGATTACCGGTACATGTTAAGACGAAAAAAAACTAGATGTTGAACAAATTTTAATTATTTCTAATAGTTTCTTGAAGGGTTGTGACAACCTTTATAGACCGCTCGGATCAGACCACTTAGCTGCTGTGTGCGTTTGTTCCACTGCCTGGCAACGTATCTTATTGTCTGTTGTTTTGTCTGTGTATTAATTTTATCTAATAATAAAGATAGAAGTGTGTCCTCTTTTTTTTTGTATTTCTTTGTTTACATATGCTGGCATCCAGTCTCTCAGTAATATACCCTATATACCATCAGATACCTCGTCTCCCGATAATATACCCAATACCAACCAATACCAATTTGTTTACACATGCTGACCCCCAGTCTCGCGATAATGTACCCTTACAATCCAATACTACTTTGTTTACACATGCTGACCCCCAGTCTCTCGATAATATACCCTATACCATCTGATACCACTTTGGTTACACATACTGGCCCCCAGTCTCATCATAATATACCCTATACCATCTAATACCACTTTGTTTACACATGCTGACCCCCAGTCTCTTGATAGTATACCCTATACATACCATCCAATACCACTTAGTTTACACATGCTGACCTCCAGTCTCGTGATAATGTACCCTATACCATCCAATATACCACTTTGTTTACACATGCTGAACAATAAGTCTCTCGATAATATATCCTATACCATCTGATACCACTTCTGAACTGAGGCATTCACATAGCTAACAAAGTTTTGTTATACCTTTGATAACTGATAGTCAGGATATAAAAGGACACCAGATGTCTCTACAGTCAAGTCTATCTTTAAATTTGATAGTTAATTTGTGGAAATTGATCAGATATAGATAATTATGTTTATACAACTGTAATGTGTCATGCCATCCTAATAAAAGTTTCATTTACATTGGAGAAATTTTATTAGTGAAATTGAAGATGTTAAGATTAAATTACATGTATGACACAGAATTTGGAACTGAAACCTTGGCAAAGATATATATTTGGGTAACCTGAAGAAATGTCAGTCATTCTTAAGTGCCAAGTTCACTTAAAGAAGTACTCAATTATTCACTTCCCCTTATACCCCCCCCCCCCCCCCGTACAATTGTTAATCTAATGAACACATATTTACAAATTGTTGAGGGGAGGGGGGATCTTTACACTGAATCTGAATTTTTTCACATAATGCCTACATAATGAGTAATTTATTACCAGTCCTTTATATAAGAATAAATTATTGCACTAATATATGTCAAAGATCGAACGTTACACGTTAGAATCAACCAGAAAATGTTATGTACAATATTAACATTATACAATTCTGATTTATTTAAAATCTGATTAAAATACAGATCTATATTTCGTTTCGTTCTTTTTATACTTTCGATGGCCTACACTACATGAAGATCTGACGAGTTGTACTCGAGGTCGCGTCATTTCAATTAAAAATGTATATATTAATATATTTTTTGAATATAACGGATTAGTGTTATCTGTAGTTTTATCTTTGTCCTGAAACATCCGAAAATAAAAAGAAAATCAAGTACCCTTGGATAGCGAGTCTGGTAGTAACTGAACATTGAACTCAGTAACAAAATGCGGGTCCGACTAAGCACCGACAAAAGCGATTTTTTATCCGTAGGCCCAAAGTATTGCAAAAAGTAACCAACAAGGAAAGGTGTCTTATTATGCATATTCGAAACATCATACCCAATAAATTATTTCATAAAAAATTATGGATAACTGAAATTTTGAAGAAAAAAAACCCGGTGTAATACCGACAGGAGGTGGCTGAGTTAGACCATACGGCGCAGAACAGTAGGACGCTAAACCCCATTTTATTTCATATTCTTTTCTTACGCTGGATAAACTGTTTTCAAAATCCACAGACAACTTGGACAAGAATAAACGTATAATAAATGAATATGTCATGTAATTTATATAAAAATTCAGAAACACTGAGACTATTGTAATGATACAGTGAACCTCGCGAGATTCGGTGCCTGTTAAAGTCATTAAAGTGCTGTGATAATTAACATGTGTTACTGTAGTTCCAGATTGACCTGGTCTGTTAAATAACAACAGTAATACCTAACTGATACAGCTGCTATGGGAGTTTCATTGCCTAGTAACACTATAAACCTATATCGGCATAGCAAAGTTCTGTAACTAGTTTTAAGGTATAGTATCTCACTGTCCTGCGACAAATTGTCACGAAGTCTCGAACCCATCTCAATTTAGTTTCCGTTAGTCAGAAAGTGAGTGAAATGGGAGACAACTTTGCGAAGGATTAGCGACTTATCAAACTAAATTGGAGACAAAAATTAGAACTGCGCGAATTGCCCAGGGACCCTTGGGGGCGCAACAAATTTGTGATTCAATTGAAAATAAATTGTAACGTAATTAAGACACTTTGTGACCAACAAAATCACATGGTCTCAATTTCTCAAATGTCACCATTACAATGCGACAGTCGTAAGTGCCCAGGAGTTTTTCCTAGGCCCGTAACTAGTTCCCCCCCCCCCCCTCCCTGTGAAATTTTTTTCGACCATTCAAAAAAATAGATATACATTGTCCGTCAATATTACAGCACCCCCGAGAACACTTCCCGCCCCCTTGATCGTTGCTCTGAGCTAGTTTTACGGCCCTGGTTTTTCCCAAAATTTCGCAGCGATTCTTGTGACATTCGTTCATTATTTGTGTGTCGTACGCAAAATGTACCAATTCAGTGCGATTCCAAAAGGAAAATTGTCGCAAATTTGAATTCTGTATTCTCACAATAAATGTTATCTTAGTCGAGTTGTCGCAGCCCAGTGATATACCAGCTTTAGTCCGTAAAATAAAAAAAAATCTTTGTAATATCCAAGTCAATGTTATCTCACTGTTATAGGCAGGATTCGATTTATAAGAAATATCTGTCTTCAAAAGTCCATGCATGACGTGTACTCTTTTTACTTTATATTAGAACGATATGATTTTTGTTCTGTGCAGGGGTTTTCCTCCTGGAGAGGAAAAAGCAGTCCAGTATACGATATGTGCCTTTCAAACATTCTTTATACAGCGAAAAACCACCGAACAGGTGATTTTCGCAACACTCGAAAAGTTATTATATGCCTTATTATTTCATTATAATTTTTTTGCGGTGTGTATAAATGAAATAAAAAATTTCTTTATTTTATACTCGCATGCCATATTATACTTTTATAGACTGTTGCGGACAATAAATAACGGTTCGGTTGGTAATTAAAAAGGCACTTCCGTTTCAAACTCTTAGAAATAAATACATTTTGATTTCCCTTTCAAATTTTATTGCTATTCCAATATCAAACTTGCGTGTGGGGGGAGGTGAGGCATTCAGTAACAATAATACGCTTTCATGTTTGAAAGACTAAAATGTTTGTAAAAGCCACTATATTATAGGCGATTTGTTTTCGCCCTTGACGAATATTCCAGCGATGCCGTAATTCACTATATAACGGCAGCTTTAATAGTAATTATTTTATGTACAATGTAATATATATATATCTATATATATTTTTCTAGCCCAGCTTCAAACAACATTTCCAACATTATGCAAAAAAGAATCTGAAGCTAAACGGTATATTCGGGCGAAGCTGAATAATGCAGCTAAAACAATTCAAAGAAAAATAAAATAAAGCCAACCCAGTGGGGCTCAATAAAATATCAAACATTCATCTTGAGTTTTTATTTTTGTTTGAAACAATCGCATTGTATCATTATTTTCATGAAGATTGGTTGCATCTACGGGCATCGCAGTAAATTTCCTACAACATAATCGCGATTATATGACTCTCGTTAAAACTCTATTGACGTTCGTATCAACCTATTATTACCCGGGGGATGAATGGCCAAATGGTTAACGCGTGCGCGTTGCATTATAAGCAGGTCCGGCGGAGTGGTTATTGAACTCAAGTAACTATTCGATTAAAAACAAAGAGGCCTGACTTTTACATAGAGAGAGAGAGAGAGAGAGAGAGAGAGAGAGAAATGGGGTTTAACGTCCACTCGACACAAACTAGGTCATTTCGGGACTAACATGGTTTTAATGTTATTTCAATAATTCGCTTGAGCGTAGGGGTCTTAAGCAGTGGGAGGAAACCGGAGGACCCGGAGAAAACCCATGAGGTTGGACAGGCGACCCTACTCCTTGTCACGTACAACCGGGGATTCGAAACCACGCCAGTTGACTCAATGACAGGCTTTATGATACAGCGCGCACGTGCTAACCATTCGGTCATCCACCCCCACCCCCCTTTAACATAGAAGTGAGACTTTTAGAGCGTAGACTTTCAGAAGAAGAAAACCCTGCTATGCTTTATACTGATCCCTGGGTTAAGGTAGACTTTCAGAAGAAGAAAACCCGGCTATGCTCTATACTGATCCCTGGGTTAAGAGACCGGTGATTGCGAGGGTCGCGATTAGATAACTAAACAGTCTATCTTTATTTCAAGTCCAACCCACGCCAGTCGTATCTATGTCAGATTAGGTAATTAGAAAAACGACGGGATAGAGTTTTTCTTATACTCTTTCCTCGTGTCCCTTATCCATAAAAAAATCACTGCTATCAGTTATGACCAGTTCAAACAAGCGGTTGCCATGCAATATAAGCCCACATTTTGCATGAAATGGATGGGGAAGGGATAAAATCAATAGGATTCATCCTCTCATTCAAGATCTTTTGATCCTTAACATAATTGTTCAGTTTCATCAGAATGAGACAACAATGGCAGCCCGTCTGGAGGACCTACAAAATCCATACATATTTCAAATTTTGCATGAAAAGCTGGGGCTATAGCTCTAGAATCTAAGGTCTGATGCGTACCAAAGTTGAACTCATCCAAGAATTTTGATTCTTACATATTTTTAAGTTTCATCGTGAAAGGTCCACAAACTTCATTCATACATGTATTTCACATTTTGTGTAAAAGGCACGAAAAAAGAACCCACTCAAGAACTAGTGATACTCGTTTTAAGTTTCATCTAAATTAAATCGGATAAAATTGTGAAATGAAATGAAATGAGATTTAACGTCCTACTGTTCTGCTCCTATGCTGGGCTAATGAAGACGGGCATACGCCATACCACCGGCCATACAGTGCTATGAAGGAAATTTTGACCGGGCAGCGGCACTATCGCCTACTCTTAATCGAATTCCAACTGCCAAGGGATCTTTTACGTGCATTCCAATATATACACGGGACATCGGTTTTTCGTCTCATCCGAAGGACTAGACAGCTGTCCTTGTCATGCCCTCTGTCCTGCATCACTGACAAGGGGGAACCACGCCGGAAAATTTGGATGAACTTTCTCGGCCAATGCAGGGATCGAACACCCGACCTCCAGGGATCGAACACCCGACCTCCAGGCTAGCGAGCCAGCTCGACCTCCAGGCTAGCGAGCCAGCTCGACCTCCAGGCTAGCGAGCCAGCGTCTTAGCCACTTAGCCACGTGATCCCCAGGATAAAATTGTGACCTCTAGAGTCCACAACCTGGGTATTATATGCTTTTGTTATATTATATTTTAACGGGAATTTTCAGTCCGAATTTCCCCAACCATAATTATGGTGTAAGGGTGATATATTTGAACAATTTTGAAAATAAGATAAACGTGATATTTCGTACAATCAGGTCATAATCCAGAAAGTTACGGTCCAAGTCGCGCCAATATAGAAAGGAACGCAGATCTTTGAGATATAAATATATATTTCAAGTTTCATCAAAATGGGATAAAAGATTTGAACTGCGGGATGGTCCACAATTAAGGCCACGGATGTAGACAGGGTTAGGGCACGTGATTTGTGCCGAGGATTTTGGGGTTAGGGTAAGGGCTAGGACTTGAGTTAGGGTTGGCGCTAGCCTTGTTTTACATCTCGTGAACTGCAGGTGACCTAAATATTTAAATCTAACCTGGGTTTTACATGCTTTTAAGGTCTTATATGCGCCTATATCGACAGGAACCGAGATCTTTTTGTTGTAAATATACATTGTATAAGTTTCATCAAAATCGGATAAAAAAATGTGACCTCTAGAGTGTCCACAACCTTGTATATTTGTCAAGGTCAGCATCACAGGATTAAACCACCATCGACTGTGTTTTCATGATTAGGGAATTAGAAGAAAAACAAATTCACTTCGAGTAATTTTATTAGCCAGAAATCGCCCGCCCAGAAAGCGTCTCCGGCGATCTAGACCCCCGAGAGCTTCCGGGGCCTGGGCGGCCCCTGAACCCTCGCCTAAAGATGGTAGCCCCCCCCCTCCACCAATCAAGAATTGCTTCCGCCGGCCTTGATAAGGTGTGTCATTGCGTCAAGTGACATGCATTACGTGACAAGGAGTATAGGGTCGCCTGTCCAACCTCGTGGGTTTTCTCCCACTGATAAAGATTCCGTCGATCTGTTCTATGACAAAAAAGTAACAACAATGGTTAAATTCGCATGTAGTGTCATATTAAAATTGTCTTAAATGCGACAAATTAGAAAAAAAATAGCTAAAATTTCCAACTTTTCTCGGCGGACTATATCCCCAGGCAAACTATCGCCCCTTCGGTAGGCCTACTATCGCTTCCTGACTTTCGCTCATAATTTGTTTTTCATGTTTAGGTCCCTTGCTTTAGTACCTTTTCGTTGTCAGTAAAACACACCTTCTGAAATTTTATCATTGCACTTCATCAGATATTCCGTTAGTTTTTCTTAATTAATTAATGTGGAAAAGGGGCCCTTAAACTCACCCCACGAACTCTCGGATCCGCGCTTGTTGGGTTACATTGTACCTACCCTTTGTTTCTGAAGTGTGTGAAATAGCTTCATTTAACGCCCGCTTCAACCAAAATGATATCACTTCCAATTACATGTTATATCTACAAATGTCGAAATACTTACAAATTGTTTCTGAAGATAGTGTTAAAATTCAACGAGGGGGTGGTCTAATCTCATTTGATTGACAGATCAACAGCAGTTCAAAGGTTACAAACCATGCGTAGACAGCAATTTGGCGCGAAGCAAGCGGTTTTCTACATTGATTACATGACAACAAACGTAATGGCCGGATGAATTATTGCTGCTGTTTGCAACGCTAAAGCATGGTTTGTTTAGAATATACGCATTATATTTTAAAGCTAAGAAGTGTCATCAGTCTGTGAATGACGTCTAATTTCGTCAACATAACTATGCAAGCTCTGTGTACATTTCTTGTCAAGGGCAGATAACTCCTATTGACACAGCCCAAAATGTTCTTACTTTATCATGAAAATATTGATATAATTTCGAAATGATAAAAATATTTGAAATCGAAATTTTAAGTTACTGATTACTAGAGAACACCTCAATTATTAGGAGAGTTTTCAGAACTGATGTACTGCCACTAAAAGGTTTTCTTATATAATATTAGGGTGCTAATGCTGGCTTTAGACTTTACTCACTCTCACTCTCACTCTCAGTCTCACTCAGTCTTTTTTACCCAATTGAATTGAATTATTAATCTGCAGGAAATGGTCAAGAAACTGAAATGGCAGTACAGTTTTAGTTGTTGAAATATTATTAGTTTAATATAATATATTATAATATGGAGTAGACATAAGGGAGAATGAGTAGACATTTTACATTTACAATTACAAAACAGTTTCATCGACTTAACTCATTCATATTGTTAAAGGATGGCGTCGCAAGGTTGACCAGCCCCCCCCCCCTTCTTTACAATGAAAATGGTGTTTCAATCTGGACTGACCTTTTCCTCAGGAATGTATAAGTCTGAGAATTCACCCTAGAACATAAACCCATAATTTACATTTCATTCAACATAAAATTAAGGCATATTGTTTGTTACAGGACATAAGAAGTTTTTTCGCTCCTAAAGGTGGGGTCAAACCCAAACCCAAATCAGAATCATCTCAAGAAACAAACAACAACAAAGCAAAAGATGTGAAGAAAACGACACCACCAAAACCTGAAAAAAAGAAAACACCTACAAAGCAATCAAACCGCAGTAAGAGTAGTGAAAGGAAAGAAGATAAAAGTACGAAAGGCAGAAATAAATCAGGTGATAGTAAGACAAATAAAGAGACAAAAAAGCAAGCTTTGACAAATGTTTCAGATGATGAAGTTGTTTTAATTGAGGATGTTGAAGAAAAGGATGACTTTAAGCAAAAAAAGAGAAATGAAGAAAAGATTGAAAAAGAGAAGAGTAAAAGTACAGAGAGTAAGAAGCAAAAAAAGAAAAATGGGTCTGTAAATCATGATTCAGAAGAAGAATCACCGATTGGTCGCAAGAAGAAAAAGCGGGTAAAGTCGATCTTTTTAACTATGTTAGACTGAAGTATTCATTAGTGTTTGAAACCCAAGATGTTAGAGCAGGACTTTCCTTAAATTAAGTGGGTTGGTCATTCATCCAAAAATAGACTCTCATGATGTAGAATTATTTCAAATCATTAGAATATTAGTATTATAAAAATGACTTTCATGAATAATTGATCAATTGAAAGGACTAGATGTTACCAAAACTGTGCAAATATTTCAGGTCAGGTTTTTGTTTTTAGATTGTTTGGCTAGCCCTAAGGAGGGACCCTATCAGAATTTTAGAGTTTTTCCGCAGAGTTATTATCGTTGACTTTCAAAAATCAATATTTCTTTGATAATTTCTTTAATATCTGAGTCCAAATAGCATTTCAAGTACCGGTAAGGTAGGCTTTATCAAACAGAACATTGCCAGGAATATTCCTTCTATTATACCTTCCAAAAAGTGACCTCCGAATTCCAAGCTACAGAAAGCAAGAACCCACAGCTCATGCTGTTTATACAGCAAAAATACAAATTCTACAACTATATTAATATTCTATATTAATGGCTCCTATTATTAATCAGTATGGCAAGATTCCTGTTTGACTGGGAATACAATATAGTTATTATTCAGTTCACTGTCTAGCATCAATTTATTTTTTCTTGTAGTTGATCAGTGACGATGAATCTGATGAGGTTAAAAAGGTTGATAAAAAAGGAAAAGGAAAGAAAAAACACAGATTATTTGAGTCCGGTAATTCAAAAAAATTTTTGACATCCTACAAAATCAAGGCATAAAGAGTCTGTTTCAAGAGAGGAAATAGACTTGCGTTCTGTATTATGTTTTATGTTTTTGCACAGTACTTAACAATATAAACAAAACTTTGGCATTACCAAGAGGTTGTTTGATGATCCATTACACCTATTTAAAACATGGGTTTCATGTCGGCCGTATATGCCGGTCGGGACCTAGGGCTCTGGAAAATGACCGGAACTGGATCAGACCCGTAGGTCATTTTGCACACCGGAAAAATAGCATATTTTGTGCTAAATCATAAAATCCCGGAACACGACGAAACTCCGTGCGTGTCGTGATGTGAGTGAACTGTCAGGTGTAATAAAATTAACAGTGTTCAGTAGCCCACGAATGGAAACCACTGCCAATTAATTATCCTTGTGTATATTGCTCTAATCACAATCAACGGAGGATCAACATCAAACAGATTAAAAGCTCAACATTTAATCACTTTAATTAACCGAGTTTTGTTTTTTAATTAGTACTGTGCGACCATTCTTAAAACCGAGTTGTTGTTACAGCATATTTGCCGACTTTCATCGCTCGTGCAGCCATATATTTACTGTATCAACATCAAACAAATTAAAAACTTTACTTTGATATCTTCACTTGATAACTAGAGTTAATCATGCGAATGATATATATAGCAGAAATGTTAGCATGCTTTACATCATTTCAAAATGTTGAAATTCCAAACCTCTCAGAATATCAAAAGAAAGCGAGATGATATCATTGTCGTCAATGAATCCGACCTTCCTTCTTCAACATTGGCCCACGTGGAAAACAGTTCCTTTCCGAAAAACACAGCCTGTCTTAAAATTTCGTCACAAACATTCCCGTGGTTAAGATATAATATTCCTACACAAGACGTATTGTCGGTGTGTGTTTTTAATCCTTTTGTTTTCTTTTATGTAACAACTGATTGATGTTACTTTACTTGACACAATGAACTTTTTACACTCGCCGCCATTTTGATACATGTGCAATTATATTTACATGTTATCGAGTGAAAATACTAGAACGATATTGTTTGAGCTTCCCAAATATTAATATGAGTTAATATATTTATAAGTTTTGAAAGTATGTTGTTAATTGTTGTACATTGAATGACTTTGAATTATTTAAATGCATTAATCATTCGGAACTACTTTTCGCCGTGTATGGAGAAATAGTCAACAGTCTAACTCGTCACATACGCAGTACGCACAGGTTAATTAAAAGATCGTTGTCAGAAACATAATGCCAAGAATAGTTTTGTGATTGGTTCCCAGAATTTTAGAAAGTGGCCTCTTGTTGAAGATCGACTATTTAAAGATGTTATACCACAACAGTTCCATTAGAGATACGAGGAGTATATACGTGCATACGGGTGATGTTGTAAATAAAGTAAGAAAATAGTGTACTTGCGATGAATGAATGTTTCTTGTTGTTATATTTTTTTATATATAAATAAATGATAATTGATTACATGTGTTCCTTTATTGAGGGAGGGGGTGGGTGGGTATAAATGCCGACGTGAGATTAAATTTCTTTGCGACTGTCCTTGACCCAATTAAACCCGATCAGCATTTCAATATCATGTTGTTTTGTGTTTTCTTGTTATGTGCTAAAAAATAGCACCACTTTCTCTACGTGAAAAATGACCGGCTGGGAAAATTTTGAAGTGGAAGCCCTGATTTAAAAGCAGGTTATGTTATGGTTTATTAGCCTACACTTGGAAATAGACAAATTTAAAATTATTTAAAATGTCAACTCTTCTGTATTAAATTTTGAAAATACACACAAACATTTGGATCTCTCAGATTAATAGCTGAATGGTAGAATTAGCCCGAAGTCTCATTTGGTCCATATTATTCCAAATTACAACAAAATACCCAAATACCAGAAGATCAAGGGCAAACAACCCTTTAAAGGGAGTCTCTTGGGTAATTAGTGAGCCATCTTTCAGAAGAGCAATTTTGACTTTGGTTTAAGTTTGGTTACGGTTTTCTTAACTCTTGGAATTTGCCAAAGTGAAGGTCGGTAACATATACCTAAACAATTCTATAAATATTTCAGATTCTGAAGAAGAAGATCCATTGCCTAAAAAAAGTAGAAAGAAGAAGAAAGAAGCTGTGATATATTTAGATGAATCAGGTAATATAAAATTAGAATAATGGTACATGTATTTAGCAGCATAAGATGATTTTGATATATTTTGCTTCTGTGATAATTCTGATCATTTTGTAATTAGACATCTATGAATCATAACCAATTATGTCTGGTAGATCCAAAATTACGGGGTATTGGATGGTTGAATGGTTAGCATGTGCGCGCTGTATCATAAAGTCTGTCACTGAGTCAACTGGGGTGATTTCGATTCCCCGTTTCTACGTGACAAGGAGTAGGGTTGCCTGTGTTTCCTCCCACTGCTAAAGAACCCCTACGCACAAGCGAATTATGGAAATAAAATTGAACCATATGTTAGTCCCGAAATGACCTAGTTTGTGTGAGTGGATGTTAAACCCTCCCTCTCTCTCTCTCTCTCTCTCTCTCTCTCTCCAAAATTATGTCTTTTCGTGCTATAGGAGTCCCTTGCAAACTACAATATTGTGCAAGTTTAATCTCTAATAGCAGTATCAGTCCAAAAAGGGTTCAAGTAAGCTTATTTACAAAGTTATGAAAATTGTATTTTCATCGATCAATGCTGCTTGAGAATTGATAACCGAGAATCCTGATGGTCCAGGTAGCGAAATTGAAAATGGCACATCGGGCCTTTAAGTAGGCCTATGTCTTGGAGATCTCAACCATTAAAGACATCTTGTTAGATGCTGGAGCTGGTTTGACTGAGACTAGGAGATGCTTTGTACACTTTTCGTCAGATTATATACCCCAAAATAACGTGAACCAAAACACCATATTGGCCAAAACATTTCTCATACGACATGTAACAACTTGCATTTCGTTATTGCACTAGTTGGAGTTATTATCAATATTCCTAACACTAGAAAGAAGCCTGTCAAATTTTTATTATTTCTGATAATTACTTTGTAGCTTGTTGCCCTTGATTTATTTTTTAGTGTTTTGTAAATGCTCCTGTTACCCACAAGGAAATAAGTGTAACAAGCTTATGTACTGCTTCAATGATTTAGCTTCTCTGGGCCTATTTTCGGTTGCCTGGAAACCTATGTATTTTACTGTATTCTTGAGGTTTTATTGTAGATGAAGAAGTAAAGAAACGTAAACCTACATTGTTAGAAACGTTCGTCATCAATACTCCAACACCCAAGAAAAAAGAAGAAAAGAAAAAAACAGAGCAGAAAACTTCTGTCAGTGCTGCCAATTTTTTTGGCAGTGGCTTGGTCACAAGGGTTGAAAGATCAACCACTAGTACTAAACGAAAATCTGTAAGTATATTTGCTGTATGGTTTTGCTAACTAATGGCATCTCCTTTCTTTGCAAGGGACCTAAATCAGAGCCAAGATTAAACTTGGGACAACTATGACTTCAATGAGACTCTAGGTTAAACTTAATATGTCTTCTATCAGACTCTAGGTTAAACTTAAATATACATTGGTTTTTTTATCATACCAACTTTAGTAATGATGATCGAGGCTAGCCTAAAATTCAAAAGGTAATATCTTGGTTCCGATTGGAGCAATTTGACTGAAATTTTCTGCATATTCTATTTACATTATGACTTAGTCACAGCATAGGTACAATTGAAACCAGAGTAAATATGGGCTAAATCACAGTCTAAGAGGGCTATTGTATTGGTCAAATATGGCAGTTAAAACACAATAAATAAAAGTCAAATTTATAGTTGTTTTTTTTTGGGGGGGGGGAAGGGGGGAAGGTAGTTTATAGTTACTAATTTATGTCTAGTCTTAGAACAGATATCTATTAAATCTTAGAACCTCCACATTGTGTTCTCAATTTCTGAAATTAATTTGCAAGCAAAAAATGTTTGTTTACATATGATCAATTATATAGGCTTTATTCAAGAATGTTGCAACTACCAGAGCATACATTTTTATACGCCCACATTTTCATGTGGACGTATTATGCCGTCGCCCCTGTCTGTCCGGACAGCCGTCCACAATTGTTTGTGAACTCTCTACAGGTCACAATTCTTATCCGATTTTGACGAAACTTGAAATATAGGTTTATCCCCATAAGATCTCGGCTGCTTTCGATATTGGCATGTATCGGATCGAAACTTCATGGATTATGGCCCCTGATTGTACGAAAAATCACGTTTTTAGCTTGTGGACCCTATAGAGGTCACAACTTTTATCCGATTTTTTTGAAACTTGAAATGTAAGTTTATAACCCAAAAATCTTGGTTCCTTTCGATATTCGCGCATATCGGACCGTAACTTCCTGAATTATGGCCCCTGATTGTATGAAAAATCGCGTTTTTAGCTTGTGGACCCTAAAGAGGTCATAATTTTTATACGCCCACATTGAAATGTGGTCGTATATTGTCGTCACCCCCGTCTGTCCGTCCGTCTGGCGTCCACAATTGCTTGTGGACGCTCTAGAGGCTAAAGTTAATATCCGATTGACTTTAGATTTATATACAGTGTTTAAGGCCATGAGACGAAGAAGCCTATTGATTTTCAGTGATTTTCGATAATTACTGCCAGAGTTATGGCCCTTGATCACTTCAAAAAATCTTGTGGACGCTCTAGAGGCTAAAGTTAATATCCGGTTGACTTTAAATTTATACACAGTGTTTAAGGTCATGAGGCGAAGAAGCCTATTGATTTTCAGCGATTTCCGATAATAACTGCCAGAGTTATGCCCCTTGATCACTTCAAAAAATCTTGTGGACGCTCTAGAGGCTAAAGTTAATATCCGATTGACTTTAAATTTATACACAGTGTTTAAGGTCATGAGATGAAGAAGCCTATTGATTTTCAGCGATTTCCGATAATTACTGCCAGAGTTATGGCCCTTGATCACTTCAAAAAATCTTGTGGACGCTCTAGAGGCTAAAGTTAATATCCGGTTGACTTTAAATTTATACACAGTGTTTAAGGTCATGAGACGAGGAAGTCTAATCATTTTCAGCGATTTTCGATAATTACTTCCAGAGTTATGGCCCTTGATCACTTTGAAAAATCTTGTGGACGCTCTAAAAGTCAAAGTTAATATCCGATCGACTTTAAATTTATACACAGTGTTTAAGGTCATGAGACGAAGAAGCCTATTGATTTTCAACAATTTTCGATAGTTACTGCCAGAGTTATGGCCCTTGATCACTTCAAAAAATTATGTGGAAGCTCTAGAGGTCAAAGTTAATATCCGATTGACTTTAAATTTATACACAGTGTTTAAGGTCATGAGACGAAGAAGCCTGTTGATTTTCAGCGATTTCCGATAATTACAGCTAGAGTTATGGCCCTTGATCACTTCGAAAAATCTTGTGGACGCTCTAGAGGGTAAAGTTAATATCCGATTGACTTTAAATTTATACACAGTGTTTAAGGTCATGAGATGAAGAATCCTATTTCCGATAATTTTTGCCAGAGTTATGGCCCTTGATCACCTTGAAAAATCTTGTGAAAGCTCTAGAGGCTAAAGTTAATATCCGATTGACTTTAAATTTATACACAGTGTTTAAGGTCTTGAGACGATCAAGTATATTGATTTTAAATGAATCTTTATGACTTGAACAGCTAAATCCATGATGTTAAAAGTTTTGTATGCTAAACGTTAGCATGGCGCAGAACTTTATAAAAACCGAACAAATTCTAATGGTTTTCTGATAATTACTTAATGAGTTGTTACTCTTAATCAGATTTTAATGTATTATAAATGTTTCATTACCGAAAAAAGTAAAAATATGTGACAACTCTTGTTGACTGCCCGGACGATATAGCTGCTGTGGGCGTATGTTTCGTTGCCTGGCAACCTATCTTTATCCGATTTTGTTGAAACTTGAAATGTAAGTTTATAACACAAAGATCTCAGTACCTTTCGATATTCGCGCATACCGTTCGTTCTCAAATAGCGTAAAAATATGGTATATCAAGATTGTGGACCCTATAGAGGTCACAATTTTTATCCGATTTTTTTGAAAATTGAAATGTAAGTTTATAACCCAAAGATCTCGGTTTCTTTCGATATTCGCGCATATCGGACTGTAACTTCCTGAATTATGGCCCCTGATTGTATGAAAAATCATGTTTTTAGCTTGTGGACCCTATAGAGGTCATAATTTTTATCCGATTTAAAAAAACGTATCATTATATCACCGTTACACCCTAAGGAAGGTTGAGTAAAAATATGGTATATCAAGGTTGTGGACCCTATAGAGGTCACAATTTTTATCCGATTTTTTTGAAACTTGAAATGTAAGTTTATAACCCAAAGATCTTGGTTTCTTTCGATATTCGCGCATATCGGACTGTAACTTCCTGAATTATGGCCCCTGATTGTACGAAAAATCGCGTTTTTAGCTTGTGGACCCTATAGAGGTCATAATTTTTATCCGATTTAAAAAAACGTATTATTATATCACCGTTACACCCTAAGGAAGGTTGAATTCGAATTTCGTGAAAATCGGCCCAAAATTGACAGACAAAATGGCCGCCGTTCGTTCTCAAATAGCATAAAGATATGGTATATCAAGGTTGTGGACCCTATAGAGGTCACAATTTTTATCCGATTTTGTTGAAACTTGAAATGTAAGTTTATAACACAAAGATCTCAGTTCCTTTCGATATTCGCGCATATTGAATTGTAATTTCCTGAATTATGGCCCTTGATAGTAGGAAAAATCACTTTCTTGTTAGCTTGTTCTCTTTCCATCTCTCGAAAATGTGGGCGTATCCTGCCTGGCAGTCGCTGGTTAGAATATCAAATCCATATTCATATTCAAAATAACGCTGATTTAAGTTGCCAGATTATTCCAGTTTGAAACTGTTTCATATATTGAGATAATGCTCAAAATTGGCATAGGCCAAAATACCTAGCTAATCAGACAAAATAACCCCTTCAGCATCAAGCAAGTGAGAGTCGTATTTTAAACCCATTGATTTGCCTTTGTATGTTTTTTTTTAGAGTCAAGTGGATGAAAGTATAGATGAAGATATTGAGATGCATGATGATGATGATTTTATTAAAACATTAGAACAACTAGACCAGCAACAGACTAAACGTGTGAGTTAGAGATCTACTCTTTTTACGTTAATTTTTGCAATTTTTTTTTTAATGAAATGTACCAACCTTAATACACCCTGCCTATTTAATATTATCAATTTGATGACACTCCTGATTGGTTGATTCTGTTTTTTCAACCAATCACATCCTCGTTTTCATAAGTAGTTTCTATCAATGTTGTTAGATTAATCCAAGCGGAATTTTGAAATTTCAAACACAGATTCGTAAACATGCAAAATTAAATAAATTAAGGATACTTAACAATGTATTAACTGCAGTGATTTGAGAAACCTAACAATGCAAAATAGCCTTCAGTTGTAATGATAATTTAGCAGATGATGCAAGCTGGTGTGTCTGAAATGTCTGCATCCAACAACAATTATTTGGGCATGGTAATGCACATCACAAAATGAAACGTAGAACTGTTTTATTTTTTTCTGGTATTTTGAACTACACTATAAATACATGGTTTATATGCAGTACATGTTTATTTTTAATTTGAGCCACAGTGGCTAAGCGGGTAAGACACTGGCTCGCTAACCTGGAGGTCGCGTGTTCAATCCCTACATTGGTCGAGAAAGTTCATTGACAGTATTGCAGGACAAGAGGGCCTGGCAAGGAATAATGTATAGTTTTTCGAATGGGATGATAAACCAAGGTCCCATGTACCTATTGGCATGCACGTAAAAGACCCCCTGGCACATGGAATTCAATATAAGAATGGGTCGTAGTGCCGCTATCTGGACAATGTTTCCCTCATAGTACATTGTTTAGCGTATGCCCGTCTTCATTAGCCCAGCAGAACACATTGATGTTAAACTCCATTTCATTTCATTTGTTTTTTAATTTAAACTTTCAGCCAAAATTAGAAGATACTTTGAGTGAAATTAAGAAATCCCCTGAAAAAACAAGTTTAGCAAAGAAATTAGCAGACAAAGTTAAAACTAGTTCAGTAACAGTTAGTGAAACTCCTGAGAAAGAAATGAAATCGGGGGATAATAATAATAATAATAATTCTAAACATAGTAAAAAGGTAAGTTTGCTGTTTGCATGAGAGAGTTACATCTTCACCATATAGAGGTATTATATGAAGATTGTAACTTGTCGTCAAGAAAAATTGATAAATTGTTAGAGAATTGCTTTACCGTCAATACTGATTGATCAGTACTGATAATCAAATAGTCACGGAACTGGATTAGAATATCCGGAGTTGGAATCCCGGCGTGGACAAAGAGTAAACTTCACAGAATTTTTGAAGCCTGTCTTTCTCTGGTCTGTGGCTGAAGAAATATCAGAATTTTTCAAGCCGGCCGACAGGCTGTAAAAACTTTTTCGAGCCCTTCCTTCACTTGTTAGAGGCTGACAAAGAAGGATTGCTTGATCGTTCGGATAGGACCAAATATCTAGATTGCCCTATTCAGTTCTAGATTCTTTTGATGTAGGCATGAAATTATCCCATGTTGATTTTACTGCTTGAGGATTTGTTACATCATTCCGCTCTCAAGAGTAAATCTGTCCAACAGGTGCAGTATTTCAGCTCATCAATCTCAGCTACTTTTGGCTTTTACAAAGCTTGAATTATATATATTTTTCAGCCTTCACCTAGCAAATTGAAGAATCCATCACCCAAGAAATCTCCTGTAAAATTAGAAACACCAGCAAAAACTAAAGCAACACCTAAAAAAATATCACCAATTACTGACAGTAAAAAAACGGTATGTCAGCTGGATTTTATATTGTTATGTAGAGAAATAAAATAGTAATTACCATATAGTGCATCATAGAAGGTAATAGTTTCTCTTCTGCCAACTATGGAAGGGCATCACTGACAAAAATACATTGTTGAATGAACTAGACTTAAATGACAGTTGGATGAGTCCTTAAAAAGACAAACTGCCAATTGATTCTCCAGTGGGTAACATCATCTGCTAACTGGGCAAAGGAAGTCAAGTCAAATTATATGCAATATTTTTTTAATTGCCCCAAAGTTGTCAAACCCCTTAAAGTTAAAAGCCAGATCACTGATGGCCAATTAAGCCCACTAGGGTTCTTGTCTGCCTTCAAATAAATGTCCTTGGTCAGAGGTGTTGAATTTTTGTCCGCTATAATCATTTTTATATGCCCACATTTAATGTGGAAGTTTATTGTTGTCACTACTGTCCACTTGTCCTCAATAGCTCTAGACACAATAGTCAGAAGTTTTCATCTTATTTTAATGTAACTTAGTGATTTTAGACTACATTAGGAGTTAAACTACAACAACAATAAAAGTTTGTGAACATGATATTCTACATTTCTCTTTGTAATGACAATGTCTATTTGTATTTAGTCACCAGATGCTGATACACCTTTGATGCAGCGTAAAGCCAGTTACCGTAGTTACCTACATAGAGATGGACCACAAGCTTTAGGTTCTAAAGAAATACCTGAGGTAAGTCAGGGATAAGAAGTCCTTGAATATATCATATTGGCAAATATGTGTCACAGTGACCAGAAATCATTAAAGGTATATTCCTACCATGTTAAAATGTGTTTTTTTTATAAGAATTAGGAGCTCTCCCAGATATATAATTCAATGATGGAAACTAGTTATAGGCACAACAAGGAACATATATCTCAGAAGTCAAAAATGTTTGCTTTAGTATTTTAATGTAAAGACTACTGGTTTTGTGTGATTACTGAGTACTAAAAGACACTGGCTGGCTGTCTATACACTGGCTGATATTTTATTGGGAAGAGATTTTCGTGATTTAAGGATGAAATTTCTGAAATAAGTTACGTAACCCTTTTGGCTTACATGGACAAGCACTTTTTTCTTATGAGGTCTTATGAAATCTAATGCATTTATTTCCCATAAATTGTTGGGGATTATCCTAAATTATGTAATGTAAAAAAGCAAGCTAAAAACATCATGTTAAAAATATAACCAATATGTGGACTATTTCAGGGAGCTGAGAACTGTTTGGAGGGATTAACATTTGTATTAACTGGAGTGTACGAATCAATAGAGAGAGATGAGGCTAAAAGTCTGATTGAAAAATATGGTGGAAAAGTGACAACATCTTTAAGTAAAAAAACAAATTATATCGTGGTGGGACGAGATGCTGGTGAAAGTAAACTCAGTAAGGTAAGACAGAACTAGAATCAAATTACAGATGGTTGTGTGAATTTTTTTTTTGGGGGGGGGGGGGGTATATGCCCACATTACCCATCATGACCACAAACTACTGGACTGAACAGCATTTTCTGCATCAAAATACGATTGGGTAACAAATGCTTTAATGACCAATCAGTTACCACACAGCAAATTAAATGGAGATAACCAGAGTAATAAATATGTAAAGGGTAAATATGTTTGTTTAAAGAGAATATAGTAAAAGTCTACCTGAAGTGATCTATTGGATTGACTAGTATTTATGCATTGATACAGCAGTATTGAATGTTGATTTATCAAATGAAACATTGCAAGGATTATGCATATACCAAAGAGCCAAAATTTGTTTTCTTTGCCTAAATTTAACAGAAAATAATTTTGACAGTTACCTAGACAACAAAAACAAAATATAGTTTGCCATTATTTATCGGAATGATCTTGGTTTCTGTATTGTTCGTCCTAATTTTAGAAACAGTTCATTGTTTCATTAAAAATTTAAAATCTTAAATTTCAGGCTACACAGTTTGGTACGAAGCAGTTAGATGAAGATGGTTTGTTTGAGTTAATCAAATCCCGACCAGGTAAAAAATCTAAATATGAAATACAAGCTGAAGAAACAGTTAAAAAGGTTTGTATTATTTACTCAAGGTTCAAATTTTTAGGCTGGAAGATGGAACAGACAACAGTATAATTACTGCCAGGAGTACAAGTCAGCCCAGATTACATATCAATCTTTTAAAACTCAGATGGCTTAAATTACATAATAAAAACACCCATTACACAGGGTTCCCGCGGTCCTTGAAAATCCTTGAATATCCTTAAATTTAAAATTTCATTTTCAAGGTCTTGAATATCCTTCAATTTCTCGGAAATGGGAAAATATCCTTCAATTTCAGTTGAGATCCTTAATTTTGTTTCAAATGTCTTCAATTCCTTTTAAATATGAGATTATAACGATAGTTGGTAATGTTTTGGTTATTTTTTAAGATGAAAAATTGTAACTTTAGGCTAAAAAATGTCCTTGAAGATCCTTGAATTTGACGTATATTTATCCTTGAATATCCTTGAAAAAATGTTTGACGAAGCCGCGGGAACCCTGTTACATTAAAATAATGCATATTTTTTAACTTTTGAAGTCTTGAACAGTCTGGTTTGTTGTCTTTAAATTATGGGGTGGGGGGGGTCGTGTGGTTAAACATGTGCTTTATTAGACCACAAGGTCTGTTATTGAGTCACATGGCAGGCTTTTGGTCCCACACTTGTACGTGGCAAAGAGTAGAATCACCTGTCAATGACATGGGTTTTCTCCAAGTCCACTGGTTTCCTCCCACTACTAAAGACCCCTATGCACAAATAAAGAATTGAAAAAGAATTTAACCATATTTTAGTCCCAAAATGACCAAGTTAATCCTCATTGGTTTTTTTCCCTCTTTCTCTTTAACTTACTATTGTGATTTATTGTAGGAAAAATGGTTAGAAAAAAAAATATCAATGCAAAAGGAAGAGAAACCTGTAGCCGGAAGTTCTAAAACACCTGATACCATTCCAAAGCCTAGTCACTCTAGTGTCAGTGAATCAAAGAAACCTATTGGACAGTCTAATGCTAATAACCAATCAGAATCTGTTTTACTATGGGTAGACAAACATAAACCTGTTAGTATGAAAACGATTATTGGTCAGCAAGGCGATAAAAGTAATGCTAAGAAGCTTTATAATTGGTTGAATAGTTGGCATAAGAACCGTGCTGCAGGAACGAAACCAGCAGGTATGTAAAAAAAACCCAAAAAAACTGATCTGCGATTTTGTATGCAATTCCTTCTTTATAAAGGAAATTTTTGATTGCATAGACCAACACAATTGAATCTTCAACCACTTGTTACATACTTTGTGCCCAAGTACAATAGCCATTGGAGGTTTTAGAGGTCTAATGAAATGGGATTTAACGTCCTACTGTTCGGCTCCGATTGGGCTAATGAAGACGGGCATATGCCATTAAGTGTGCTATGAGTAAAATTTTGCCAGGTTTTTTCATCCCATCCGTTCAACTATACATCTTCCCAAGCGAGTGATCTAACACATGTGCCTCAGATCATAAGGTCTGTTATTGGTGTTGTTTTGATCCTAAGCTTGTATGAGACAAAGAGTGGAGTCACCTGCCCATCCTTGTTGGTTTCATCCAGGTCCCCTGTTTTCCCCATACTGCTAAAGACCCCTACTCGCAAGAGAATTATTGAAATAAAAATTGTACAATATGTTAGTCCCAAAATGACCCAGTTTGTGTCAAGTGGAGGTTAAATATTATTGTCTGACTATCTCAGGAGTTTTTTCTCTCTTTCAAATTGTTTTTATACACCCAATTGTCTGCCAACCTATGTTTTGTGCTGTAATGGATGGTTATGTAATTTAAGGTAAATTTTTCAACAATAAAAGTGATGATGGATCAGGATTTAAAGCAGCTCTATTGTCTGGACCTCCTGGTGTGGGTAAAACTACGACTGCTACTCTGGTCTGTAAGGTAAGATAACTCTGAATTCTAACTGTTCTGAAAATGCTGTAATTTCAGGCCAGAAAGCCTGTGTCAAAGATTTAGTCACCACAGCTGAAACATGTTATTCAACTAACACCGCGTCTGTTATCAGGACTGGCAGAACTGTGAAGGAAAGCGATTTTACTTCACTGAATAGCTATTTCTTTGATACACAACTTCAAGATTCACAATAAAGGGTGGAAATCCTGCTACCAAAGCTAAATTTAATTATTTTGATCTGTACAAACATTCAAATTATGACTTACTGTCTGATTCATCGTAAATTTTAAACGGATTTCTTCGATTATGAACAAACTACTTAACGTTGGTTATTATAAACTTACCTGTGTGTTTGTAATGAACTCCCGTTCGATAAAATCCATTGCACAACTAATTATCACAACGATGAAAACAAGTTCTCTCTTGAAAAATTGAAATATCACAAACTTTTCCCAGAGAAAAATACCAATGTGGAAGATGGTTACGTCACTCTGCGGAAGATATCATTTCGTATTAGGGGTGACAGCATAGGAAATTCAAGTACAATTACGACAAGAATCCATGACCACTCGGACCAAAGATCACTCGGTTCAAGACCAGTCGGACCAAGTGATAGACCACTCAGCCCAAACAAATAGACTACTCGGACCATACAAAAAGACTATTCGGACCCAACAGAAAGACGACTCGGACCAATAATAAAATGTTGTTTTAATAAATTGATAATTGCGTTTGTTTTAATATAATTACTCGAACCAATAATAAAGTGTTATTTTAATAAATTGATAATTGTGTTTATTTTAATATGACTACTCGAACCAATAATAAAGTGTTATTTGAATAAATTGATAATTGTGTGTGTTTTAATATGACTACTCGAACTAATAATAACGTGTTGTTTGAATAAATTGATAATTGTATTCCAAATCGCAAAATATCGAGAACCACACTTGTAGTCACGTTTAAAAAGGGGCATATAAACGTCCGGTCTTCGTATTATTATGTGCTGTTTATATTAACGCATCAAGGGCGGATAACTTGAAAACGTGTCTCCACCCCACCCCCCCCCCCCCCCATATATAGTAACCCAGGGGTTAGTGGGGTAGAACGGAATGAAACCACTGGGGATACCGCGAATGTGGAAAAAGTAAAATTAGGCTATCAGACAAGAACAGTATACCCGTATATGTAGAAACTGTCAAAAGTCTGGACATACCGAGTCTCATTGCAAGAGTAAAGAAAAATTAGATTGATATTTTTTTTTGGCACCATTATTAATTAATTTTAAAACTAATCGTTGATTTATTTACGTACACAAAATTGAACCAAACAACTCTAAATATAAGAATTCCGTATAAGAATTATTTGCTTCTTTGTATTGTGATTTAATAATAAATAAATAGCATATTGTCTAGCCTTAAAATATAATTTAATTGGTCCGACTGGTCTTGTTTTGGTCCGACTGGTCTTAGTCCGAGTAGTCTTTGGTCCGAGTGGTCTGGATACCTACGACAATTGGCATTGAGTTTGAGCGTTCGCACACATAACTACCCGCATTCCTGTATTTAGTTACCGTCTTTTACATTCTAGTAAAATCTCTGCAAATTTTATAGCTTTACTTTTTGAAATATTTTGTTCTAATTATTTGATTAGCGACTCGGATGGGATTATTTACTTTTGAACACGCATGCCGCACAAACACAACTATACATTCGTTTTACGGGCTTTATCACACTTCGGTCAAAACTGTCGAATCGAGAATTAATGTTCCGCTTCTTACGGGGTCATACGGGCTTAGTAGCATTATATACCCACCCGGGCACCCAATACGGCAATCGACACGCTGAGGGCTGCCGCAACACGCTTAAAGATGTTACTGAAGCGGTTATTATTCGATCGAAAGAATGCGTATAAAATAAAAAGTACACTCAGAGAATTCGGAGGTAAGCTTCATGATCCTTGTTAAATTATTTATAACATGAAGAAGATAGGATATTTATAGTTTATTCATGACTTTATTTTTACGAGTATCCGTGCAATCAGTGATATTTTAATTGTGAAGAAAATTTGATAGACTGGCGATCAATGGTTTCCATATAAATCTCCTATGTAATTGCCTTCAATTGATATTTTTCGTCGCCCAAACCCATATACGATCAAAATGATCGCGCTGTCAAACTATCTTTCAATGTTAACCAACCCCCGCAACAGGTATATTGGATTCGACCAATACGTCACGAAGACATTGTTGACATCGACTCAGTCGAAATTACAAGTAAATTTTCAAATTTTTCAAGAGAGAAATTGTTCTCATCGTTGTGATAATTAGTTGTGCAATGGATTTTATCGAACGGGAGTTCATTACAAACACACAGGTAAGTTTATAATAACCAAAGTTGAGTAGTTTGTTCATAATCGAAGAAATCCGTTTAAAATTTACGATGAATCAGACAGTAGCTTACAGTGGGGCTTTGTTTTTGTTAGAGGTTAGTCATTCATTGATAGCCTTTATGGACTGATGTGAGCATGTGTTCTGTTCAAATTAGCAGTAGGCCAGAATATAATAACACAGGAAGTATGCTCACTTCCACAATTTTGTTTTTCAGGAAGTTGGGTTTTCTTATGTAGAATTAAATGCATCTGATACAAGATCAAAGAAAAGTTTACAGACTGAAGTGGCTGAATCTCTGGATAACCAAACACTTGTCGATTTTATGGGTAAACATTTCATTTTTAGCTTTCCATCATTGGCATTATAGATTTTTTTTATTTCTTGTATATATAAACATTGATATACAAGTGAAAAACAAAATTTTACATTTGCAAATTGAAGAAATGAAATGAAATGGGGTTTAATGTCCTACTGTTCTGTTCCGATTGGGCTAATGATGACGGGCATATGCCATACAGTGTGCTATAAGGAAAATTTTGCCCGAACAGGTGTGCGACGCCTACTCTTATATCGAATTTCAACTGACAAGGCATCTTTAACATGCACGCCAATGTATACATGGGATCTTGTTTTTTTTTACCCATCCGAACGACTTGACAGCTGTCCTTGTCAGGCTCTCTATCCTGGACCACTAACAAGGGAAAAACCACACC